TTGATTGAGCCAGAGCACATCCCATCACGCTAGTTTCTAGTTGGGCAAAGCGTTTCCGGGAGTGCACGCCGCATCCGTGCAAGCAGGGCGGCAGCACCACATTGGGGGCGGTCAAAGTCAGCCCCAGGGTCGCATCAGCCTAGCCCAGTCGAAGCCCATCCATCTGCCGAACTGCCAATGCCGCCCTCTCCATTGGCCATCTTCATCGTCTGCAGGATGCGGAGAGGCCGCGGGCGCCATGCATAGCTCAGCTTGCAGCCTTGACCTACAGTTGGCAGCTGAAGGCGACCGCCGCTTCGACGGTAGCCAGTGGAGCACCTACATACCATACGTACACAGTAGATTCATCAGCCGTAGCCATGGGGGCGGGACAACTACTGCTATCAGCAAGCACGACTCCGCATGGCTTTTTGTCCATGTATAAGAAGGAACGGGGCGAAGTGCATTGCACTCACTATCAATTAACCCTCCAAGCCTTTTCCGCTTTATCTGCGAGCGTATCTTTCCTCCCACGCTTGCTTTTCTTTTGCTGCTAGTATCGCAGCTACTACATACCTACCCGCTTGGTTGGGCAAGTTGCCTAGTACAGTATATATTGTTAGCTTTCCGGGCTTGAGAGTCGACGGCTGGTCTTGCTGCCATCTTTGTCGGCCTCGACGCTATTTATAACACGTATGTACCTTCAGTAGCCGAGTTGTTTCTCACTCTGCAGCTTTTTTTTTAATTCCTTTACTACTACCTGTTGTTTTCCTTTTTAGCGTTCCGCCCCCACTATCCGCACATGAAAGACACCTGTACCACAATTCTACAAGCACAACACCTGGCTTCCTTGTGCCAGAACACAGCACCATTACAGTTCTCATAGTCTCTAACCAGACGTAGTAAAAACATGTCCAACGCCACAGAAGAGGCCAAGGCAGCTTGGGATGCTCATGTCGACACCCGCACAGGCGTCGAGCCCCCCAAACCTGCTGATCCATCCGAACTCACCAACCTACGCAACACCATTGGTACCTCATTCAGTACTGTTGCGTCTCTAATTGGAGCCGTCAAAGCCCCAGTTCCTGATCAAACTGGCGATGGCTCCAAAATCGCACCCGAAGAGAAGGCTTCCATTTACTCGAAGATTGAGGGTAGCCTCCGAGACATGTCTCACCTCGGAATCCAGGACATCAAATCATTAATTGACATCCAGAAGGAAAAGATGCTGGGTGGTTATACCGATGATAAGACTTACCTTATGGAGGGTCTCATTCGAACGGCTGCTGCGTTGCCTGATGGCTCCAAGACAAGAGACGCCGTCACCAACAAGTTCCTCGAACAGTTATGGAACGACTTGCAACACCCCCCGCAATCATACCTCGGTGCACAGTATCAGTACAGGTCTGCAGATGGATCCAACAACAGTCTTATGAACCCTCAAATCGGTAAAGCCGGAACTCCGTATGCGAGAACAGTGAAGCCATCTGCTATGCAGACTCCTGCACGCCCGGATCCCGGCGTCGTCTTTGACAGCCTCATGACAAGAAAGCACGCGGAGCTGCACCCCAACAGGATATCAAGCATGCTCTTCTACCTCGCTTCCATCATCATCCACGACTGTTTCCGCACTGATCACGCAGATTATTCCGTCTCAATGACGTCGTCATACCTAGATCTCGCGCCTTTGTATGGTAGTAACCAAACCGAGCAAGACAGGATGAGGACACACAAGGATGGAAAGATCAAGCCTGATTGCTTTTCCGAGTCGAGACTGCTCTTCTTTCCCCCCGGCGTTGGCGCACTGCTGATCATGTTTAATCGTTTCCATAACTACACTGTCGAAAACCTGGCAGACATCAACGAGCAAGGCCGCTTCACCAAACCATCTGCTGAGGCACCAAAATCCACTGGCGATGTGGAAGTAGACAAGGCGACAAAGGAAAAGTACGATGCAGCATGGAAAAAGTACGACAATGACCTGTTCCAGACTGGTCGCTTGATCACCTGCGGTCTATACGTCAACATCATTCTCATCGATTACGTCCGTACCATCCTGGACCTTAACCGCACAGACAGCAACTGGCAACTGAACCCACGCGCCGACATTCCAAATTTGCCCATGGGTGTCGGAAACCAGGTTTCAGCTGAGTTCAACCTCGTGTACCGATGGCACTCCACCGTCTCTGACCGTGACGAAAAATGGACGCAAGAAATGTGGGATGGTCTTTTTGGCGAAGGACGCGACCCCAAGACTGTTAACAAATACGAGTTCTTGGGACGCTTGAACGAAGTGTACAAGAGGACCGACCCCGATCCCGCGAAGCGTAAATTTGCTGGCCTTGAGCGCAACAAGGACGGAACATTGCCTGATCAAGGTCTGGTAGATATTTTGACCTCTAGTATCGAGGACTGTGCCAATTCCTTCGGACCGAACAGAGTCCCTGCCGTATTCCGTGCCATTGAGGTACTCGGTATTGAGCAGGCACGTGCCTGGAATCTGGGCTCGCTCAACGAGTTCAGGAAATACTTCAAGCTTGAGCCACACAACACTTTTGAAGACATCACGTCGGACAAGTATGCTCAGGAACAGCTCAAGCACCTCTACGATCATCCTGACAAGGTCGAGATCTACCCGGGCATCGTCGTGGAAGATGCCAAACAGCCCATGGCTCCTGGATCCGGTCTCTGCCCTCCATACACCGTATCTCGTGCCGTATTATCTGACGCAGTAGCACTGGTTCGTGGTGACAGGTTCTACACACATGACTACAACCCACGCACCCTCACAAACTGGGGCTACCGCCAGGCCGATAGCGATACCGCAATCGACAACGGATGCGTGTTTTACAAACTCTTCCTGCGCGCCTTTCCCAAACATTTCAAATACAACAGCGTCTATGTACACTATCCACTTACCATCCCTTCAGCTATGGAGGTCGCTCTGAAAGATTTGAAGAAGGACAATCTTTACGACTTTTCGAAGCCAGTACAGACACATCACCCACATTTCTTCAAAGAGTACAAGCTAGCTACTCAGATCACGAAGGATCAAGAGACCTTCAAAGTGCTCTGGGGAAAGCCCATGGAATACATCATGGGTCCTGCATCTGCAGACTTTATGCTGGCTGGCGACGGACCTAAGAACATAGCTTCTCGCCAAATGATGAGCAAAGCTATGTACATCTCCGAATGGGACAAGGAAGTGCGCAATTATTACACACGCAAAACCCGTGAGCTGTTGAGTAAAAAGAGTGCGAAGATCGCCGACTTCAACCAGGTCGACATTGTCCGGGATATTGGAAACCTAGCACACGTCCACTTTTGCTCGGAGCTTTTCATGCTGCCTCTCAAGACGGAAGAGCAGCCGAACGGCATCTTCACGGAGGCCGAACTCTACCTCATCATGTCATCCGTATTTGCTCTCATCTTCTTTGACGCTGATCCTGCGTCCTCGTTTCCCCTGCACGTCAAGGCGCGCAAAGCAACTCAACTCCTCGGCAGTATCGTGGAGGCAAACGTCAAAGCAATTGCAAAAAGCGGCATTTTGTCCAGCATTATGCAAGCCATCTGGCCCCAAGAAAGCGCGCTCAAGAGTTATGGAAAGCACATGATCAGACGCCTCCTTGATAGCGGCATGGACCCCAAGCAGCTCGTTTGGGGCCATATACTAGGAACTGCAGGTGGCATGGTTGCAAACCAAGGCCAGCTCTTGGCCCAAACTTTGGAATACTACCTGATCGGCGAGGGCAAGGAACACTGGCCGGCAATTCAAAAGCTCGCACTAGACGACAGTGAAGAAGCCTTCAAGACGCTGATGCATTACACGATGGAAGGCGGTCGACTGAACGGCGAAACAGGCATTATTCGCGCCGTAGCAAAGGAAGTTTCGCTCACTGAAGATGGCAAAACAACCAACCTCAAGCCTGGCGATTCCGTTTTTGTCAACCTGCGTGCTGCCTCGCATGACCCCTCTGCTTTCCCCAACCCGGATGCAGTTGATCTTACGCGTCCTCTGGATTCGTACATTCACCTTGGTCACGGTCCACACCAGTGCCTGGGTCTCCCAATGACACGTGTAACGCTTACAACCATGGTCAAGGAGGTAGCTAGGCTGAAGAATCTGCGACCTGCGCTGGGACCGCAGGGCAAGATTCACAAGGTTGCTAAGAAGATGGAGCCAGAGGGTGTGGAAGAAAAGTACCAATACCATGCTTATTTGACGGAAAATCAGGACATGTACTTTCCGTTCCCATGTGGTAAGTTGATGAATTCTTCCCGGTAACCAGACTGGATTGATCATTTTGCTAACGTGTTGTAGCTCTGAAGGTGTGCTGGGATTAATAGACCACCTCGATAAGGACACAAGCAATATAGGTTACACGAGGATCGGCGGTATAGCGGATGGGAGATGCGTGGCGTGTAGTGTATACAATGATGTACCGATAGATGTAGTACCAAAGAAGACGGACCGTTTGGGCTAAAAATAGGAACAAACGGCCAGAGCATGAGCACATAGTCGTGGGGCCAAAGCGTAAATTTCTCCGAGATGCCGTATTTCCTCCACCGCTCATTGGCCCAAGCGCCCAGCCTCGTATTTGCGCCACCCCTAATCGTTCAAATGACGTGCTCGACAGGGTCTCGACAGCCAACTTCACCACCAAACCTATGGGATCTTCGGACAAAATTACCACCTTGGACTGCAGAGTCTCGAAACGGGAATTGAACGGTTTTCAATAGCCGCAGATCCCAGGACGGCTACATCGTGTGCGGCAGCTGCTTTCGGATAGTCGGGTCGTTCCAATTCCAGAAACGGGGATTCCTCTTCAACCGGCGGCCGTCATCGAGGCGGCTCCACTATATGGGAGACTGTGCGAGAGAGGAAAGTCGAGAGTGTATATAAACAAGTTTGTGCCGCGCAAATTCAACTTCACTACCCAACGAGCCTCACATTTCGCAACTCACACTGATAATCCTAATATCCAACCACTCGACATCCTAATCTCTCCCTCTCAGACACAATGGTCTCTTTCACCACCCTCCTCACCCTCGCTGCCGGCGCTCTCGCTGCCCCTGCCCCTGCCGACACGCAGTCCCCGCCACAGCAGGTTCTGCCCGCAGGCTACCCCAACCCTTGGGCCTGGCACGTCGAAGACTTCGAAGCCGGCTGTGTGCGCAGCGGCTGCTACTACCGATTCAACCTCTCAGTTCCCGCAACCGAAGCCTACCCACAAGGCGGCAAGTACTCCTGCAGCGGCACCGAGAATGGCGAGTTTGGCAATGAAAACACTTTCGAAGACTGCAGCATTGTTGGAGATGACAATGCCGCTACCGCTGCCGCCAAGCTGGGTAGGAGGATCAACTCCGAGCCTCCCAAGCAACTTTATGTTAGCTTCTTGAAGCCAGGTTCCGCAGCCGACCAGACGTAAGTTTAGCCACAACCTTTTCTTTCTAGTCCCTGTTTCTTCGTCGTCACATACATTTTACTAATACAGGTGGATTTCAGGAACCCATACAACTTTACCGCAATCACGACTGATTGGACGTACAACGCGTTTGTCGCCGTCGATGAGGAGTTTGACGTCTACCCTACTATCTGGCAACAGTACCCTCTTCCCCAGAGCAAGGTAGCTTGATTTGTTTGAAGGATCTGGGAAGGAACGGAAATCGGTCGCCAAACCTGACTATGCGATGGAGCGGGTCCATGGAAACTTCCAGTCTCTGCGGTTTCTCAACTTCTCTCCATGTTTCCAAAACTATAGAACCTTGTAGATATGCAACCATGTAGATACTATGATGATTAGATTTAACGCAATATTTTTTTGATCTTTTCAATAGTCGTATAAGTGCTCATGGGACCTTGCAAAAAAGTGGAGCGATTGGCACAATATAGTAAAGTTCGGCCGGATTTGGTCCATTCAATACATATTGTATCCACAATCCACCAATGGAATCGCTAGTCCAAGACAGCACTCCATGCATGTAGGCATATGGTGATCTTTCGCTTAAAACAGTCGATCAAAAGTTATCATGCCCGAGTATATTGCCACCTCCGCACTGGCTCCGCTTCCCGGTGGTTATTGCACAAGGAAGCTGCAATATTAAAAAGCCAAGGGAACTTGCCGCATAACGACCTGGATATCCAACCATCCATCCCATCCGCAACCAGTGTAATATTCTTAATCATAATATCCTCCATTCCATCCCATCATCCACAATGGTCTCCTTCACCACCCTCCTCACCCTCGCCGCAGCCACCCTAGCCAACCCCATCACCCCGACCCTCGACCCCCGCGCCACCGACATCCCCGAAAACTGGACCTGGCACGTCAGCGGCTGGGAAGCCGGGTGCCAGCGCCGCGGCTGCTACTACAACTTCAACGTCACCATCCCCAGCGTGCGCGCCGCCATTGGCGGCGGCAAGTACTACTGCAACGGCTACGAAAACGGGTGGTACCGTAAAGGGAATTGGTTTGAAGAGTGCAAGCTTCTGGAGCTTGCTCCTGGTGAGTTTTTGTCCCAGGCGAATAATACGGTTGCGGCCAAGTTGGGGGAGCAGGTGGGGGAGGAGCCGGTGCCCAAGGAGATTTTTGTGAGTTTTGTTTGGAAGGGGTATGAACCTACTGGGTAAGTTTTTTTTCTTTTTCTTCTTGTCTTCTTTTTTTCCTTTGGTTCTTGAAAATCGGGGCTTTCTTATCCGATTTTGTGGAAGAAAGAAGAAGAAGATGTGTGGTACTAATGTGTGGTAGACGTCCCTCGTATAACTTCACTGGCTCTAATGAGACGGTGTACAACCAATTTGTGTCTCCTCCTTTGGAGTTTGACATTACTCCTTCAAAAGTCTTTGCTATTGCATAAGTGCAAGAGGAAAGTGTGTCTGGATACGAGCATAAGTAATGAGTTGGAAATGTGGCAATGATTAAAATGACAGTGTTTCTTTTCATGTTGATTGTTAATTGGTACTAAGATTGAGCATGTCTGTTTAGCGTGTAATGTATCGAATCGATTCTCTTTTTCTGTGGAAAACAAAAAACAAAAAAGTTGGAATACTTTGGTGTTTTTGATTCAAAGTATAAGTATAATCTTGAGAAAAATAGTAAAAAAAAAAGCAGACTGGGTATGAAGACGGGCGATGTTAACGTGTTGTGACATGTATTCTGACTCGTATGCAATAATCTGTCAATTAATCTTATGACAAGAAAGCTTCATCGTGTTAAGCCTGAGATACGCGCAAGGTACCCTTACATACTGAGTAGTAGCTATCCGCCAATAGGAACTACTCCTACCCGGAGGACTATATAACGTGCAATATGATCATATGGTGTGATATACACGGATTCTGTTTTTTGTCTCTCGCTGTTCGACATCCAATGAATACATGGAGCGTCAAGTCGTATTCAGAGCACGGATAGAAACCAGTTCGAGTAACTATGACTTGACTTGTGCCTACCTATCTGCTGTACGGCTTGATTCAATATCTCAGTTTGCTATATAGCGTACTAGATCAATTACCCCAGAAAAGAACGGCAGGCCACATCGCGACGTGCCTGAATCGGGTATTAGAAAAAAAAGACTTTGCAGTTAAGGTAAAAGGATCTGAATGAGAAACGTGCACAGAAACCTGAGAGCTTCAGCGAGACCCGTCGAAGAATTATAGTATGAAAAATGAAATATCCATGGAGTCCTATTCTTTGGAGTAAGGTACAACATTTGGTAGCGATGTAGTGAAACTTTACTCCTCAAAATCGGTATGCGAAAGGGATCAGAGAGACCAGTCAATCAACTGCGTGCTTGAAATCCCTAATATCGTGCCGGCGCACCAGGCTGTTAGTAAACCTGGGGCAGAAACTATCGTCTTAATCTTAACAAAAGATGAGGATCTCATCTATAATAATGATTATACTGACTATATGGTTTTCTCCATCCTGGCTAGATACAGTGATTTAAGCTCATAATTCTGTGCAGTGGTCAAACAAGGAGAAAGATCAAGAAAGCTTCTTCGGCACTGAAGCTTAAAACCCCTTCCTACATTTCAAAGGTTTAAAGCAAATTTGATTTAAATACAGAAACGGTCTTCAGAATCAATTTTCGTAATCTCAGAGTTACATTTAGTTTTTGGATATGGGGGAGGGGGAGGAGATGCGAACTCTCGATCTTGCAAATGAGGACTTCGTATATAGTATATCAATCATCCCATTCAAAAGTTTCCAGCTCATCTAGTAGTTTTCTCTAACCTCAGATTCTCGTCCGTCCAGCTATCCACCAGAAGGTGTAAGGAAAAGGAGAGTCAGTCATATCTACCATTATAAGATTCATGGCTCGATACTGACTCCACTCGTTTATCGTCTGCGAGCTAAGTCGCATAAGATGCTTTTTCTTCTTGGTCACAAGGAGTGTACATGACAAAAGTGTGGGAGAAGATATCATGATGAGGCAAGAAACTTGTCATTGGAATTTGAGCTACATGAAGTGATATGTATGGGGTGAAATTTAGTCTATTGGATGAATCGAAAGGAGATGAAAAAAGAAGGAGATGAGAACAAAAGGAGATACAAAAAAAAGAAGCTATCGTTACTTGGACATCGAACATGAGGTACACTTATCGTGACATGATATCGTACCTACTCTACGAGAGAGTAAAGTTTCCGTTGCCTGACCCATATCCATCATCTCCACAGTCTCCGTCGTCCGCGTTGGTTCCGCAGTGAATCTCTCCGTTGTAGTTGTGGTGTGAGTTCCAGTTGTCAACGAAGATGACGTCTATGCCGACACGGGCGTAGAGTGACTTGATCGTCTGGGCATATAAATCTGTGCCGTTGATGATAGGACCCCAGGGGCTAGGGGCGATGTATGTGTCGAAGCCGGTCATGACGAGGCCGTTGACGATGCCGGGGATCATGGCGCCAGCTTTGAGTACATCAGGTCCGTTGGTGACAGGGCTATCGTTCTAGTTATTGTTAGAGTCGGCCCCGTTGGTCGTAGAGTTGTCGCCAGGGAAATTAAAATCGAAGTTGATGCGCTTGAACAAGGAAGGAAGGCGGATAATCTCTTCATCGGTGATGCCGGTCGCTTGCTTGAGGATTTGCATGTTAGCCTCAATGCGCTTGGCGCATTGCTCCTGCACGGAGATGAGGTCCTTGTTGGCGAGTATCTCGTTGATAGTGGTAGACTCTACAGGGATGGGCTGGCAACCAAAGTTGTTGCAGGGGTTTGCTGGAATCGTGTCGTTGTTTCGAGAGAAGAGCCGCCGTGAGCCATGTCCGCTAGCCTTGATTTGCTGGAGCATCTTGACACCCGCAAGGGGATCATCAACCACCATAACCCAACCGCGCTCCGAATCAGCGGGCAAGAATTGGACGAACTCGTCGACATGGCCGGCGAATAGCCAGTCGGCATCGAGAAGAAGAGGGTCTTGGGTTTCTTGGGCCCGGAAAAACGGTAGCATAGCGTGGCTCTGTTTGCCATGATTGCCGAGGATCAAACGTCCAGCAGGCCAGGAAGTACCGTTGAATTCGTATGGAGGAATGGTCTCGATATTACCGCCGGAGTTGATCTCGTCACGTGACCCGCCAAGCTGCTGAACGGCGCCGATGCCAGTGTCTCGGTAGTACTCGAACAACTGTCGGCCGGCAACACGCTCGTCCTGCGGACTTCGGATCATAATGCGCAAGCTGATGGGCCCATCAGGACCAGGCATAGAAGCGAATCCAGGTTCCAAAAAGTCTTGAGCCTAGATGTCATCGCTTTTAGTGAAGAGGTAGAGGTCTTTGTCTAGGCTAGATTGGTTGACGGCGGCCTGGAGTTGCTGGTTGAAGCGGTTGAGATACGGGGTGCCAGTATCATTGCCTTTGACACCAATGACCTGTTGCACAGGGTCGAGGTGTGTATGAGTAAGAACGGGGGCAACACGTAACATGACGCTGTCGGACGAAGTGCCATTGAAACTCTTGACATTGAAGGTTACAAGGGCTCGACCATCCCAACCATTTGGGCGACGGACGTCCCGGCCATCAATACCGAGGACAAGACCCTTGCGGAGTGCGGCTGTGCTAAAGGTAGAGTTTCCGTCAATATATGTCCAATTGCCGTTACAGCTGGCCTGGTGGAAGATGCGGACGTTGCTGCGCTGTACTTGGTCCTTTACATAGACGCGACCAGAAGCGCCATTGGGAAGGTCGGGCATGGGGACTGTACGGAGCGGAGCAAGGAACTGCTCGGAACGCAGTGTGTTGTCAGACGCATCGTTGCAGCGGTCGAGCTTCTCATTGCTCACGGCAGGGCCTTTGAGCAGAGCTTTGGAGCAGCGCTTGTCCGTGTCTCCTATGTTGGGGAGGAAGATGGCACCAAAGTCGGCAGTCCACGTGGTTTTGCCTTCAGAGTCCGAGGTGCCTGAGAGGTCGACGAGGCCATCGCGGTCAGTGTCAGCTCGGATATCGGCTTTGAGAATAGTGGCCATTGATGCAGATGCGTGGCATGAATCATCGCGTGGAAGCACTCTGGCATGGGCCAAGGGCGCAAGGGCTAGACCGTCTTAGCATGATGCATATCACGTGTGAAACAGTGCTGTCGGAGGTCTGGGTGCTCACAGAGACTCGAGAGAGTAAGAAGTGCTTCGAGACGCATCTTACTCAAGCTAAACTAAGCTTTATGTTTTAAGTTTGTCCGTATGCAGGTAGTAAGATCTTTATGGACTGGCTGAGTGAGAGTAAACGGTTGACATGTATGGAAAGTACTGGTGGCTGAGGATGGTGGCTGTGTCAACAGTTCAAGTGATACTATTTTATATTCTTCTTTTTCGCGCAATAACAAGCCAACATAGATATTCTATTATTCATTTCTTTGTAATTCATGGTGTGCGTAGACAGTTCGTCACCCTCTCTGCGAATACACAGATCTCCCCGCCCAGCGTATAACTGGTGATGTTGCGCTAAGTCGCATTTGGCTATCTCCAATGCACTCTATTTGGTAAACGAGGACTCGCTTAACGCCGAGCTGACGCTGATTTGCGACTGTCCTTGTGGCAACGTGCGGAAGCTTAAAATAGGAAGAATGTTCTGATTGGTCGAATTACCCGGGTTAGAGTAAATGCACTCTGTCTATACGCGCTGGCCAATGACAGCCTCGAAAATACTACCGAATTAAGCCGAGTTACCGGCCCATAACGGAACTGCGCCCCCCCTTCCACGTTTTCCTGGCGACACCCTACGACTCTTGATGATTCTTATGATCGTGGCTCCTACAAGACCTGCACCGCCTTAGTCAAGTCTCTCACAACGGCCGAGCTTCTACGATGTACATCGACAATCTGACCCGTCCGCTATACGCGACAACCAATGACAGCCTTTTGGGACTGCCAGTCCGCTCCAAGGCTCCTCGAGTGCGCGCATTCTCACCCAAAGTTCGCACTGGATGTATTACATGGTAAGTTCTTCAAGACTCGAAATACAGAATGGTTGCTCGTATTCATCACTTATCCTTTCCTCCATCCTGACCCCATTACCCATTCACCAGCGATCTGCGCCAGACATCGTGAACTAGCTCGCAGCCCGAACTTTGCGAGGGCTCCTGCTTATCTTTGAACGATACTTTGACAACAACTGCTATGAAATTTTTGTTAACGCTTTGTGACAGCAAGTAAGTGTGCTTCAGTATCATACACAGAAAGGTGTACATTCCTCATATGTACATGATCATACCTTCACCTCCCTCGCCACATGGCCACTGCTCTTCGGGCAAATACGAGAAGAGTGGAGTATCTTGTATTACTCCGCCTATTAGGCTCAAGTCATGCTAACAAGACTCGTCTTCACCTCTAGAATCCGCAGGAAAAAATGCGACGAAGAGAAACCGACCTGTCGTCGATGTAGAGACAGTCAGGTCAAGTGTGATGGATATGCACCTATACCAGCCGAGAAGAAGAAATCGCCTTTGCAGAAGGTTGTGTCTGCGAAGGCGAAGAAGAGAACCATCCAGGCCACTCCCGAAATGATCCAAGCCGTCGTTAAGCAGTCACAGCCACGTTTTCAAATTCCAGGCAGTAGACTGAATCTCGAAATCGACGGCAGTGTGTATGACCGCATGTTTTTCCACCACTTTCGCTCCATTACCATGGTCGACTTCGTCCGTTTCGCCAACCCCAAAGATTTCTGGTCCCAGCGGGTGCTCCCCATGTGTCATGACGAGCCCGCTGTACGAAACGCAGTTGTTGCGCTCGGTGCAGCCCACTACGTTTACCTACAAAAGCTCTCAAACCCTTTCTCGGGAGGCACGGACACATCCATGACCCATTATGAGTGTGTCGCAACACAGTATTATAACAATGCTATTGGGCAACTGGTAACACTCAACAACGCCAACAATTCAACACTCTGGGATTCGCAGCTCAAGATTCTCACCTGCTGCCTACTGTTTGTCTGTCTGGAGAACATCTTCGGCCGCACCGACGAAGGAATGCGTCACATGCAAGCCGGCGCTCGCCTCCTCGAAACCTTCGACTTGTGGAGTGTTCCACCCAATTTTCAACAACTAATCCAAGAAATTGCAACCGTATTGCTTCACTTTTGCGTCGACGTATCTTACCTCGACGACGACTTCGACGTCCCGAATATGCTACCATATGTGGCGCCTCTGGTGGAACTTGATGACAGAATGCAACCATTTGCCAGCCTCGCGGAAGCCAAGGACGCCATGTGGGATCTAGATGTGAGAATGACCTACATCGAATGTCCCGATCATGAATCAGATGGAATACCTGACAAAGACTGCTGCATGCCCGACAATATGAATGAACTCATTGAGCCGTTCGAGCGATGGAAGACTAAGTTCAACCTTCTCGTCGCATCTCAGGTCGACAATACAGATGTCCCGATAGACGTACAAAGGGAGACACTGACCTTGATGCTTCGCCGCGCCGTATGGGAAGTCATCATGCCCATCAAAGCTGACGACGAAGCCGGGGAGCTAGCGAGGCTCCAACGTGAGCTAGTTGACTTGGCAGAGCTCCTATACAGCATCGAGGCCTCATGGCTAGGCCGGCCTATGTTCACGTTGGACAGTGATAGTATCCCTGCCCTGTATTTCGTTGGGTTGTCTTGTGAAGACCCTGCCTTGGCTCAGCGCATTCTCACTCTCTTGCGCGGTCACCGAAGAAGAGAAGGACCCTGGGATAGCTGGAAAGTGGCAGATAGGCTTGAAGCCGAGTTACTGAACCCTAGTCCTTGCCCATTCAAGAGCGGTTCGGATACTTCTTCATCATGTCGGTCAGGCAGTACCCCGAATTCTGCGGGATCGTCTCCATCAAGTGGCACGCCAGATTCCACTTCCTCTTTTTCAGTTTGTAAGACGGAATTTCTTTAGGAATGTCATGTATATTATTTCTTCAATCATCTTTTTCTTCTCGAGATTTCAACTCGAATACCAACTGTGCGGGATTCTGACAGTTTCTTTTTGACTCTGCTAGATTACCACTTAGTCCGCTGCAAGTCGGAAAAAAGTCCGAAGCTAACATCAACCCCGCCCTCTTCTTGACAACTCTCTGGCGATCGACAAACACCGCCTGTACCCTATTCATCACTAGCTAAACTCTCCAACGTAAGTTTCCCCACTTCTTTGCGAATCAATCCTTGATCGAGATCAAATCACGATTCAGCATCAACCCCATGTTGTGAAACTCTACCCATATCGGCACTCGATATCTGCAGTGACGAGATTTTCGTCACTAACACGGAAAAAGACACAGTATAAATACACATAGGCTTCCACACAGCGGTGGCATTGCCTTGTTACCCTGATATCCATCATGGTTACACTACAATTTGCATCCTGGGCTACTGATCTGACGTATAGCAGTCTCACAAGCAGTTTACTTGCAGCTGATAACAAATCCTTCTTCAACTGGGCTGGATGCGCAATCGGCGGCTTTCCTTTCCAGGCTGTACCGCAGATTGCACTCAACACGACACTCTCTGCGTTCTCAGGGCTACCAACATCTTCGATTCTAGGCGCGAACGATTCCGCCTCAGGGGTTTTAGGAGATGCCCAAACTGCAGCGCTGATAAATGGCATCGCCAGCCATGTCGATGATTACGATGATACGCATCTTGAAACGATCATCTATCCTGCCGGGCCCGTTGCAAGTGCTCTCTTAGCAGTAGCCGAAGCGCATGGGCCTGTCACTGGCCATGACTTCATTACTGCATTTGTGGCTGGTGTAGAGGCGGAATGTACATAAGTTGGGGTTGTCTGTCTCGCCCGAGCACTACGATGTGGGATGACACATTACTTCCACAACAGGGTCCGTTGGCGCAGCCATCGGCGTAAGCAAGCTTCTCAGATTGAACACCACGTATATGCAACACGCTATCGGAATTGCCGCTACCCAAGTGGTGGGAATGCAAGTGTATTTTGGCTCGGACACCAAATCTGTTCATGTTGGCCGCGCCGCACAAGGCGGTATTCTAGCTGCGCTGCTTGCAAGGAATGGCTACACTTTTCTCTCAAAGCTCTTGAAGCCAAGTATGGATGGCTTCATGTTGTCAGCACGCGGGAAAATGCAACGGCGTATTTCGATCAGCTGGGAAAGACCAGGGAAATCGAAAAGAATCCCTTCAAACCCTACCCTTATTGAATCGTCATGCATCCAACCATTGATGCTGCCATCTACCTCCGCAATGAGACACTATCACAAAGTCTTTCAATCAAAGACATCGACACCGTACAATTGCGCGTCAACCCCGAAGTTCTCATCCTAACCGGAAAGAAAGAGCCACAAACTGGACTCGAGGGCAAGTTCAGCATCTACCACGCCGCAGCAGTAGGCCTGGTTTACGGAGAAGCAAGACCTACTCAATTCACCGATGCTGTCGTCAAAGACTCGACCGTAATAAGTTTACGTAACAAGGTCACTGCAACTGAAGATGAAGGCGTATTCCCGTCCGAAGCATACGTTACTTTGACGTTCAAGGACGGTACAACATTACAAAGCACGTCGAATATGCCAAGGGCAGTATTCAGAATCCACTTACCGAAGAAGAGTTAAAGGAGAAGTTCATCGGCCAGGTGGGCGCGGCGATTGGTCTTGATCGTGCGGTAGATGTGTATGCGTCGTTTTCAAACGTGCAAGAGATGTCCGATGTTGCTGCCATTCGGCATACGTATTAGCAGGCTCTGTTCAGCGGTACGACTACCAGGTTACCCGGGTCATTCGATTGGGAAGCTCAGCCGCCTATCGATCCTAGTTCTATCACATCACGCCAGTGCTTTCTATATAGGCACGGTCTGTCTCCTAGAACTTCTTAACAATTCTATCAATCTCTCAGACATATTGTTCGTGCTATTTCATCGTTGTACATATTTCTTATTCGTCAAGCTCACTCGGCTTCCAATGTCCATATCGTTTCTTGTGCTGTTGTTTCACTGCTACCATTCTTTCTTCAACTCTACAGTTAAACCAAAGCACTTTGATGTCCCGCAAGTCTAACAACGGTATGTGATTATGCAAGGATATGCGGGAAAGGATAGAGTGGATCCCCAGCCGATGTTACTTACTTACCAAAAATGGTAGACCCACAATCTGGTGGTGGTAAGTTTGTGCTTATGCCAGGTGTAGATCACTAGCAAGGGTTCATCTTAGCTAAGACTTGAGATGGGAAAGTGTAGCAGAAGTTGTTGAACATGTGCTTTACTCCGTGGCAGCAGCACCAGTAACGTGACACCTATCCCTAGTCACAAATGAGACGAGGTTTTCCAATAACTGATGGCTACATTCAAGTGTCCCCGTGGGTGCTTGCCATCACAATACGAATTTCCCGTGTGTTCGGCAGGTAGCATTGTTCTGTTAGGACTCATCTTGATTCAAACGTTGCTCACAAACATCGCCAATCAAAAACAACTTCTTAACCTACAACAAGCATAAGAAACAACGTGTTCGTGTTGCAGTATACCTGCAAGCGCCATGCAAGACTGCTGTGTATATAGGGTGAAGTACGAAGATAATACTGTGCGCAAGGGCCATTGGGGTAAAATTTCGAATACATGCAGAATACCAGAAACGTATTTTCGCAATCATGGTGCTTTTTTCGATTGTTATTGTATCTAAAAAGGTGATAATGGCGATAGTTGCATTTGAGTAGCTAATTGATGTGAAGATCAGAGTCAGGTGACAAGCGCCTCGTAGCCTTTTGCGGGTACATGTTTTCCGTGAACTTTTGACCATGAAAAACACTTAACCGTACCTTTCTGCTGTTGTCGGGTTTGGTGAGTATGCAAGAATCGAATTCTAGGGTTCATTTGTTCTTCATGTTATGCAATGATGCTTCGTCTTCCGCATGTTTTACATCCCTCAAATTGTCAATAGGCAGATAAAAGTATTGGAAAAAAGGTTGGATCCCATTAAATCGATCTAATAGAGTCTTGTAGTGATTGAAAAACACGGTATTCATTTGGTAAGAAAAAGAGTATTACTTGCATGAGTCGCTTTACGGCACGTGACGAAGTATAGTTAGCGGAGCCAAGATTTCAAGGCGGTGGCATGTGGCAGAAATAATTCTAGGACTGCTGGACATGCACGAACCGACTTCTTCACGCGCAACCCAATTCTCGGATTCTTTTGTTTTCCTGCCCGGTAAACCCGGTTGCGATATTTATTTGAAACTCTAAGATATACACTGCAGCGCTGCGATCATGGCTTCCGGACGTAAGCCTGAAGCCAGTACTTCGCAACCGGGGCGCAAGTCGCACAACAGCGCACTCATGGACGAAGACGCCCGCGCAGTCGCAGAATTCACCGAGAAAGCCACACAACAATATGGTCGCGGCGACCGGATACGGCCGAAATCAGTCAAAGATAAGAAGTTGCGGGCAAATGTAAAGTCTCTTGAGGCGAAGAACAAACAGGCGGCGCTGGAAGCAAAGACTGTCGAAGTCCTGCTTGAGAACAATGCTGGGCTGCTGGAGCCTGAGAATGAGTTGGAAAGGACATATCGCGTTCGGCAAGACGAGATCAAGCAGGAGGTTGGCCTAGAGACGGCAAAGAAAGGGTTCGAATTGCGGTTAGACGATCTTGGACCATACGACGTGTGCGAATACAGTCGCAATGGGCGCGATTTGCTGATTGCGGGCCGGAAGGGCCATGTCGCGACGTTTGACTGGAGAGCCGGAAAGCTGGGCTGCGAACTACAACTCAACGAGACAGTGCGCGATGCGCGATGGCTGCATACAAGCAACCAGAAAAACTTCGCCGTTGCACAAAAGAAATGCGTCTACATCTACTCAGGCGACGGTGTAGAAATGCACCAGCTGAAGAACCATTCGGAGGCGACACATCTCGAATACCTACCGTATCACTTCCTTCTCGCCTCAGTATCGACAGCAGGCATAATACGATATACAGACGTTTCGACCGGTCAATCGCTGCCACAGCTCTACACCAAACTTGGACCTTCCACAGCGCTTGCGCAAAATCCACAAAATGCAGTCCTCCACGTTGGCCACCAAAAAGGTCTTGTCACATTGTGGTCTCCGAATAGCGCCACTCCCCTCGTCAAGCTCCTCCCACACCGCGGGCCTGTACGAAGCATTGCCATAGACAGATCAGGCACCTACATGGTCAGCACCTCTCAAGACCGGCGCATGTCCGTGTGGGACATTCGCATGTTTAAAGAAATGCACCAGCACCACTTGCGTGTTCCAGGCACCACCCTCTCCATTTCCGATCGCAACCTCACGGCCGTTGGCTATGGAACCCAAGTCTCTATCTACAAAGACGACATTTTCCAGCGCAGCCCCGAAGATCAATCACAACCCAAGATGCCCTATATGGGATGGGGCGGCCAAGGACTCGACGTTGGCCGCGTCCGCTTCTGTCCTTTCGAAGATGTACTTGGGATATCGCACGACCGCGGCTTCTCCTCCATTATCGTCCCCGGATCCGGAGAACCTAACCCCGATTCCCTCGAACCGGGCACCAACCCCTATGAAACCTCCAAGCAACGTCGCGAAACCGAAGTCCATGCTCTCCTCGAGAAGCTCCAACCCGAAATGATTGCGCTCGACCCCAACTTTGTCGGTAACCTCGATTTGACCTCGCACGAGGAGCGGCAAAAGGAGTACCGCGCTCAGCGGGGTGAGCGCGAACCAGACAAGGTGGATCTGCTGAAGAAGAGGGGCAAGGGAAGGAACTCAGCACTGAGGAGGTATCTGAGGAAGAATGGCAATAGGAATGTTATTGATGCAGAAAAGGAGCGCGCACGCGAGGCGCTCAAGAATATGCAACAGAGGCAGATTGAGCGCAAGGAGAAGATGAAGAAGGAATACGGTCCTGCGCTCGAGCGATTTGCGAGAAAGTAGGCGGTAGATGATAAGGCCCCTAAGAAAAGCATATTTTCCCATTGCATTTGCATGGCGTCTCCGTATTCTTTTTTTTTACTTTTCCATGTAGTTAAGATACCTTTTATACACTATTGGACATTGACTGATTGTAGCAATGACGCAAATGGCATAGTATGAACATAGCAAGATGTTTTACTTCCAAAAAAAAGAACGCCATGTCCATTTTTGACCTATCTTAAATGCCCATTGATATCATAAACCTCGTGCTTCCTTCGTCACCTTGACATGAAGAAGGCGGTAGCTATATTTACTTCACTGCTCCATCTCGCCCCTCCAAGCCCTCGCGCTTCTCGGCCAAACCCTCTTGTACAGACTGACGGCCACGGCATCCATTGGACTAATCTTGCCGTCAAATGTAGCCTTGAAGTAACCATGCGTACCCAGACTCTCTTTGATGAAACCGCTTCGTCCGCGCTTGGTCCACAGCGGCAGGCTCTTGAACCACTTGACGTCTGTGTCGTTGAAGAACATGTAGCGCACGGTAACGACACGCTTGTTGATCTTGTAAGGGTGACCAGTCAAGATGATGCGCTTGGCTACGATGCGGTTTGTCGAGGGAGGAAGAGATGTTCCTGTTGCGATTAGGCGGAGAGGGGAGGGGTGCTCGGATGTAGGTGTCGTCCGAGCAAAGTAGAGAAGCGGGACGTTGCCCCATGTGAGGGGGCCAATAAAAGTTGCAATTGCTGATTGGCCCGGGTGTAGGTAACGAGCAAATTTGTGTACGTTGTTAGGCGTATTGCCTGCGTTTGAGAAAAGCTGCGAGAAGTGTTAGTTAAAGTCATGTCCTCTTGAGCGTCATGGACAATTGCTTCGACTTACAGGGTTAATTACAATCCTCCTTGCTCCACATTGTACAATCAACTCCATCTTTGACTTTATGGGAGACTCGTGCTCGGAGCTGAGCAGAATACTGTAGTTGCATGCTGTTCGCTTATGCTCATGCCTGAGTAGTGAGAACATGGCCATTGGTCGCGATCCGCTCTCTTGGAACTGCAGGGGAACTCTTCGAATGTGCACACTCACTCGAGTACCAGCCTTGACACCCCCAGCCCATGCTTCGCGCATGAATTTGGTGGCGGTGCGCTTGTAGTCGGAAATCTCGAGCAGCCGTTGCCACTCCTCAGGCTCATATGGCCGATCTTCTTCGGTGTCCCATACACTGGTCTTGAGGCTCTTCAATCCTCGGTAACGAATGAGACGCTCACGTGCATTGACATTCGGGTGTAACTCAATCTCATCGGGAAACTCAAGATCCTCATCCGCTTCGGTTTTCCTAGACTTGCGGTACTCCTCGATTTGTGCTGCCTCGTCCTCTGGTGATGGGTCCATGAACATCTCAGATTGCGGGTATTCTGATGGCGCACCCTCGGTCATTGCTTTCCCGTCAAGATCCATGCCCTCCACACCGTCCGCTGGATGGGCAGGCTGGCTCTGGTTATCTTGTCCATCATCCATGTCAAAATCCTCAAGATCAGATCCCGAATCGGACATGTCATCTAGGTACCAAGCAGCCTGGTAATTACTAGTACCCCTCGGCAATCGCCTCTTCTGCTTGGGGGCAGTTTCTTCTTCTTCGTCTGAGAAGTAATGATGGTCATCAAGTAGGACACCTTTTCGCTCAGACGGGGCGACAGATGTGGCGTAGTTGGTTACATCGTCCATGAGTGTTTCTTCAGGGGCGAGTTCTGCCAAGTCGTCTTGGTCTTCGGTCGGGCGCTCCAAGGTATCATCAGTAGAATCGACAGCCATTTCTTCATCTTTCGTCTTCTTTCGCGACTCCAGTGGGGCAGCAACAATCTTCTCAACTTGGAATTCACCCCAATCTCCGACCTGGACCAGCCGATCTGCCTTGAGTCCAAGTCCCCGAACGACACCAGTGACAACGACCTCGCCAGTGCCATCTTCGCTGATGGCCGACTTGCCTCCAGGCCAAGCGATATCCTCGATGAACATATAGCTCCTCTGGTCCCTCCACCGAACACCTTTCGTAGTAGTTGTACATAGTGATCGGACAAGGTTCGCCCCCTCTTGTCGGTTGTCGAGAGAGTACACACGGTCGGTTGAAGGCAGCCAGTGGGTAATGTACGACTTGAGCGACGAGATTACAGAAGGTCTTTGTTTGGCAGGTTCGACCTTGTCCAATCCTTGGACTACGGTAAAGGTGTTGGAGATACCCTGGCTTTCCACCGACTTGAGTATCAACTCGCCCTCTTCATCCACCTCTTCATGCGCTGACAGCACAAAGACAACAAAGTCGGCGATGCGGCAAGCGTCGAGAGCGGCCAACAAATCCCTCTTGACAACCAGATATTGCACCTTTTGCTTGAAGCGATCGACGTTTGTCCTGGTCCAGCCAACCTCGGGCACGTCATCGTCAATGTCGAGGCTAGAGTTGAGGCTGCGTACGGCGGCGGCAGCAGAAGTATCGGAACAGAGGGGGACGACGGCGGCGATTCGGGGGGCGCCATCCTTGCCGGCGAAGACATTGGTCGATTTTGCGTGCTCGTGGTCCTTGTTGATGCGCATCTGCTTGGCGCGGTTGCGGCGGTCGAATTTGTTCATGACCTGCTGGTGGGGGGTCTTGCGACTGCCGAACTCGAAGGAGAGGGAATTCACCTTGCCTGTAGATTTGTATTAGAGAGATTAATGCGCCATGAAGCAAGGTGCTCAGCACTCACCCTTGCTCTGCTCCTTGAGCGCACCCTTGGTGGCATGGCGGGACTTGAAGCCTTTCTTGTCCTTCTTGGTAGTGCTGCGGTGGTGATGCGACTCCATTGGGGCCATGTTTGCGCTGCCACCTGCCTTGAAGCGAAAAGGTATCGACGCCACTGTGAATGTGAATATCGACGACTTGTCGGGACTTGCAGCGCTGGGGTTGGTGGGGGCGAGCGCCGGACGGGCGATAATTTTGTTATCGTCTGGCTTATCGAGAATAATTTTGGCTCCTCGGCTGTGGCGTCATGCCTGGGATCCCTGTCTTTTTGCGCCCCCACCAGCCCCATCTTAGCCACAAGCTCGTCTGGACATGCCTTTGCTCATGTAAACTATATATTCTTACTCTGGTAAACATAACAAACCAAAAACAAGATCGTCAAGTACAATGTATTCTGTGCAAGGGGTAGGCCCAAAAACACGTCTATGGACATAGCCAACTAATATGGATGGCGCGTCTTATGCCAGGAAACATTCGCATCATTCTCTATGGAAAACATATAGGACGAACATTCCATGCAATAACATACAAAACATCCATTCAAAGTTGCTTCATAAAACTATGGTGTTCCTCCTAGAACCCACGCCAACAACCAAGCAGATGATACCTAACACAAGACATTACTGATGTGCCGATATAAGTAACGAAAACTCCACAAATGAACACGATAATGACGGCAGAGCAGTATGCGTGAGACGTTGGAAGAAGCACATGGGTACCCAAACATGGCACGGAAACACTATCTTCCGTACTTCCGAAGCCATCATCACTATATTGGCAACAAGGCTATGGTAGTCGCGGCCTCCATGACTAGGTTTGGATCCTCGTTGGATCTACGATACTAACTTGGAATCGGGCCAACAAATGAGCATGTAAGCGCTAATCTGGGACAGAGAGTTTGAGCCCAAGTGCCGATATTACGTATATTGTGCTGCTATTCCAGTAAGAAACCGGGAAGCCTGGCTCCAAACGTCCCTTGCTTATTTACATGCAGACGTAATCTCCCCCGCTTTGTGCCGGTAGGACATAAATGGCACCTCTGTCACCCTTTACCTTCGTTCTTTTTGATCTGTAGAGCATAAGTTTCACCTAGATCTACAGCCTCAACTTCACTGATTACACGAACATATTTCATAACAAAATCTATATTTATCATGCACTTCAAATACCTGTTTGCCGTGCTAGCCGCAATGGTGACTAGTACATCGGCTATCAACATTGTAGGTGAACGACGCTGAGGGTGGAAAGTGAGCGCTGACTGTCTCATCAGTGCTATGGCCAGTCAGATTGCGACCAATATGTAAAGGACAATTGTCCTAATGGTGGTGGTTGCACAAACAACCGTGGAGGCTTTTGCCGCTGCGCCTAGAGACTGAATGAGCTTGTAGCGTTTCTTGGAGATCGACGTGGTATAAAGAAGCAGGGAGCAAATCGCAGAAAGTGTCGCTTAAACAAAATGTTTCTCCAGCAGATTCGCAAGCAGAAAGCCACTCATATTTCGAGAGACTGTTGAAGCAACAGTTTCAGTACATCCGATATCAGTAATGACTTCGCGTTCCATGTGTGAATTCGCGTTCACTTATTTCAATCAACGGGTCACATGTGTGCTTCTTGGTATGGCGACATGGTCTATCTTCGGTTCAAGTCATGATTGGCACATAGCGAAGTGAAGAGCAAGAATTGTTGCAGGCTGTACGGGTCCCGTCGATGATGCTGCATCTTTACTTCACCATTTGGTCTGACTCCATAGTTATGTTCTACACCTGGTTCAACGTCTACTCTCACAAAATGCCATCCCACAACTTGCATAAGCCCCTCTAGACGCAACATTGCCTCTACTGTTCTCTTCCATACATAGGAACGTCTCGAAATTCCCCAGTTTCATCTAGTTTCTTGATTGTTTTGCGTGCCAAGAGAAGTACCTGCACTATCCTATAGCCGCTCCTGCTGTTTGTTACCTTTACCTGAGCGCACAGCAAACACCCGCAGGCACTAACATTCTTCTGCTTTTACACTGCACACTCGCTTCCACCGTCAACAGCCACAAGACATAAATAGCCACACCACCGCAGTGACTATTGCTTCCATACGGCACTACTCGTTGCAGCTGGATGATCTGAGCTTCACGAGCCCAAAGCTTGATCCTCCCACTGCCCATCATGAAAAGCCGCCGCGATCAGGTTCCTTACAGCCAAAATGAGATTGAAAGGTATGAGTGACCAAGGACGCGCTGTCACTGCCCGGCTGACCCTCGCAGTCTCAAGGGCATTGCTCTTCCCGCTAAGATCAAGTGCGGTCGCTGCCACAAGAATCTCCCCCAAGCAAAGTTCTCCTCAAAGCAGCTTACCGATGCCCGTTGGCAGATCAAGACCTCAAGCCAGATCTCCAAGCCCATCAACTGTCAGAATTGTACAGGCCAGCAAGCGGTTGAGGTTGAATGCACAATGTGTGGAAAGACAAAGGGTCTCGAGGATTTTGCAAAGTCTCAACGGCGCAACCCCGATACGGCAAAGTGTTTCTCATGCGTTGAGGGTCAGCTTGCCAATGAGGCTTTTGACGAGGACAAATACGAAGATCCTGACAAGGCCTTTGTCACTCCAGATCACTCCAATGGCCAGTATCCCGAGTATTTCTCAGCGGCCACTTCCGATACATCTTCGTCCTATGTATGTATTGAGTTTGAGCATATCATCTCCAGAGTCGTGACCTTTTCGAGTTGATGGACGCTGACTTTACCAGGGCGATGATGACTGGAAGACTGTCAACGAAAACCACCAGTCCAATCATCCCACAGCCAAGGATGGCGGCATCAAATTGTCGGCTGATTTCCAGCGGGCCATGTCTCTGAATGGAACTGCAGATGAGAACTTGATTGCTTACGAGTACGCCTACCCCGTTGGCCGTGAAAGGACTGGCAACGACGGCTTGAGCGAAATTCGCACTAAGTCGTGGCACACCCAGTCCAGCAAGGCTTCTACTACCAGCTCAACTTCGACTATCAATGCGAATAGTCGCTCGTATGCCTCTGCGGCAAGCTTGTCTCACTCGTTCACCTCAAGTGTGGCTGAGCGATCCAGTACTTCCGAGCTTTATTCTAAAGATGACGCCATGACCACTGCTGCACCTCGAGGTCCTCTCGTAGTAAGTGCAGCCAACTTCAAACGACCGTGATGTCAACTGTTCAACTAACTGTGCTGCAGAGGCCTATGGGTGATACTGCCCGCGAGAGTGGTCCAGTTGTAGATGCATGGGATGATTCTGATGATTCCGAAGAAGACGACGACGACGATGATGATGATTATGATGATGACGACACCATCATCTAGACCTTCATCATTGCATCTGATACCGAGAGATCAAGGTTATTGAACGGATGACACGACTGGATCGCGAGCAATCGTGAACACAATTCTGTGCAAGGAAGTTATATGGATGCAAAGGCTCGTGACAGTCAATGTACTATTTAAGGATTCTTTTGCGGATTTAATTCTTGCTGAAGTGAATCAATCCAGTACTTGCAATAGCCCAAGATATCCATCAAGACATAATCCGCCACCCAGTAAAGCATTGTGTGGGCGGACTGGCAAAGAAAACCAATTGTCAGGGGTAGACTTTGCTCGATGCAGCAAGTAATTGCCACCACGTGATTGCGCGACTGCCCTGCGGACCCCGGACGCGCCTTCACCACTCACTGTCTCACCCCCGCTTATCAGCCTCCGACTTACTTCAACAGCAGCTGCCCCCTCCTCAGGCAATAAATCATATCTTGTACATTTTACTTGCTTTTCACTGCTCCGAACCGACAGAATGTAAGCCATTAACTTGCATCACATGAACTCAGCGAACAACACTGACGAGTGGCGACAGGAGCGGACGGCGACCAAGAGGAGCGGGTATCCGCGGGCCACATTCAGCGCTGACAGACTTTCTGGCGGTATGTTGACCTCATGCGTGCACTACTTCAATATGGCTTTATCAAGAACTCGTGCTGATTACGCCACACTAGGCAAATAACATTTCCGCACAAGAGATTCGCGATTCATACCAGCAACGTGTTCGGCAAGCCGAGCAGGACGCTGTGCAAGCCGTCAACAATGAGGAAGGATCTGCAAATGCGGGTGCTGAGGACGAAGAGCCTGAAGAAGACCTACAAGCAGAGTCATCTGCAATGGCAGCTGAACGTACTCGCAAACGGAAACGCGATCAAGATGAAGCCATAGCGAAGATCAAGAAGGGAAAAGCGGCCAAGAAGACGGCCAAGAAGAAGAAGAAGGGTTCAGATGACGACTCAGATTTTGAGGACGTTATGGACATGTACAAGAAGGCCAAGCCACTGCCTGGTCAGCTAGAGAATTGCGAGATCTGCAATAAGCGGTTCACCGTCACACCGTACAGTAAAGCTGGTCCAGAGGGCGGTCTTCTATGCACGCCATGTGGCAAGGAAATGGCCAAGGACGCTAAAGCAGAGAAGAAGGCTAACAAGCCTGTTGTGCGCAAGGGTCGAAGAAAGATTGAGAGTAACCGCCTTGATGGGTTGACTGTGCGCGGGCCAAAGACATTGCAGCAACTCTGCATTGAAAAGCTGGCAAAGCACTCGGAAGATATCGAAGAGCTGGGCGAGATGCCGGAGTCGATTATGAATCGCATCAGCGAGATCTTTTCAAAGAAGCGGGCGATGAACCCCACGACGATGAAGCTCTTCCTGCAACCTGACATGGAAAACGTTGCTATTCATGAGGCTGCATATCTCGAGACAGAAGATTACGATCAGATATTTGCAGTTTGTCCGACTGTCAAGCGCCTGTCACTCCGTAACTGCTGTCAGTTGAAGGACAGCAACATTGACTACATGATCGAAAAGGCCAAGGCCTTGGAAGAGATCCAGTTACTGGGAGCCAACCTGGTTTCAAACGACAAGTGGATTGAGTTGTTCATTGCGCGCGGACATGACCTGAAGGCACTCAAGGTGGAGTGGCTGGATGCAGCCTTTGACGACCAGGTCGTGGAGGCGCTGACTACTTTCTGTCCGAAACTCGAGCGGCTGAAGTTGGAGCGATGCAAGAAGATTGGCCCAGAGAGCATCACCGCAATTGCCAGACTAAAGCACCTTAGGCACCTTACTCTCCGGTTCTACGATACCATTACGCGCGAGCAGCTAGTGGATCTGATCGACTCTGTAGGCGCCAATCTGCAGACATTGTGCCTAGAGCATTTTGTCGATAATACAAGCGACCCGACTGATGAATTGCTGGAGACCATCCATAAGAAGTGCCATCGTCTCAGCAAGTTCCGTTTCACAGAGAACCACGAGTGCACCGACGCTGGGTACGTGGAGCTCTTCTCCGAGTGGGATAACCCGCCACTACGCTACATTGATGTCAACTCAACACGCGACATGGACAACAGCAACCCGGATGGACCTCTAGAGTCGCCTGTCGGGCTTGGAAGTGAAGGTTTCCGTGCACTCATGTCACACTCTGGCCCGCGGCTTGAGTATCTCGATGTCTCATCGTGCCGTCACATTTCGCATGCTACGTTTTCAGAAGTGTTTGATGGGGTACAGCAGTACCCTCATCTCCGCGAAATCAACGTGTCGTTTTGCCCTGTAGTGGATACAGAGGTTGTAGCGGGGATCTTCCGGTCGTGCCCTGGACTGGCTAAGGTAGTGACATTTGGGTGCTTCGAAGTCAAGGACGTGGTGGTGCCACGGGGCATTGTGCTGATCGGGGCGCCCAAGGCACAGGACCAGATTGAACAGTTTGGCGATGTGGTGTTTGACTTTGCAAAGGAGCTGGAACAGAGCATGGATCAGATGGGTGCCATGGGCCGGGTTGTGCCTGTCATGGGATAGTGATTTCTGGGAGGTTATGAAAAGGCTCACGGGAATATTTAGTATCTAGGAGTTACATGGGTAATAATGGCGTCAAGGGAGACACATGATTTCAGCGCGCTTCCTTCCGCGTGGAAGGATGGATCCATGATTATAGACGGAACAGCAAACGATTTTTCATTCAATACTGTTTTTTTTGGTTCTTCTCATTTCCTATGGTACAGAAGACGGCCTTGATCCATGCTGGCCTTGGACAATACATAGATTCGCTAAGAAAATGAAGCCTCTAGTGCGTAACGCTCACAAAGTAACATGAATAGACGTGGGATCCAAGTTTGTGGTGCAGGATCAGTCCATGGCTTATACCCTGGTCAACCACATCATGAAGCCAAACTGAACAATGTAACTATACACGAACAGAAACTGGGTCCGCCTGTTCTTTTGGTTCTTGGGTGGGTATCCGCCGGGGGCGGGGCCTCCAAAGTTTCCTTGGCCAGTCTGGTCGGGAAGCAGGACATATCGCAGGCTGCGAAGGAGGAAAAAGGCATTTGCATTGTAGCAGTAGAGGAAGATGATCCAGTTGACCATTGTGCCGCCAAAGCCGAGCCACGAGGCAAAGTGTGTCAGAAGCAGCGAGACAATAACATGGACAAACTTGTAGCCGCTGTATGCGACCAAATCGAGGAGTTGCGAGGAGCTGCTAATGGCGAGCAGAAAGGTTCCAGTGCGTATGATGAGAATCTCTAGCAGGGTGACGGAGATTGCGACAGTGGCTGTGTAACCCAGCAGCTCTGGGTGGAAGGCACCCCTCAGTCCAGCCAGCAACGTCGAGAGCAGGATGTAGGTGACAAGGGCCATTATGGGAATGTACATGTCTGGCGAGTTGACATCTTCGCGAGGAGGTTGGTAGAGGAGGGCGGCCGAGGAGGCGGCGGGATCAGAGGTATGGCGTTGCTGGCGGGACCAGGGGCGATGCCACCACGGGACGAGGATGATGCGCAGTTTGGTGAGGACGTACGAGTTCGTGACATTGAAGTAGTGTCTGAGGGCGGAGACAGATACGAATCGTCCAATCTATTGTAGCGAGTTAGTCTTGGCCTAGCTGTCGTGATGCGCGCATGGCATGGGAAGTGGGCGCGTCGCCTGTGCGGTCGCTTTGCGCATAACGTCACGTACATTCTGCTCAACATATTGCTGTCCCGCATCCACGGCGCTCTTTCCCATCTGGAAGCCGAGCTGAGCCGTGGGATCATTTATAAAGCCGCCAAATGAGGGGTGCATGCTGTAGCCTCCCTGCTGTGGAGGCATCCCCCCGCCCTGTTGCCCGTATCCATATCCGCTCTGTGGTTGCGAGGGCGGGGGAGGGGGTGAGCGCAGTTGGGGGACTGTCGAAACGTGCTGTGGAATTGGATGATGCACTGTGGCGTATCAGCAAAGGCGCGCCCGGAGTGGATACGTATACATGGGGGGAGGCGTACGGGGTGGTGAATGCGCGGGCGGCGGGTTGTTGTAGTTGGGACGCTGCATGGCTGCGCGTGATACCGGGGCCGGCAGTCGTTGTGGAAATTGATGGCGAGATGGAGGAACAGGAGGAGGAACAGCGAGTGACTGGGCGAGGCAAGGGGCGTGAATTGAGGGTGTAGTGTATCTGTGGAATTTGTGCCTTCGAGCTTTCCGCTGCCTGTCCGAGTTCCGACCATCTGGCAAGAGGCGGCCCGCACGGCCCTTCGTCATCGCACCAACATTACCATCACCACACACCCCTCTCGCATACCAGCCAGCACCTCATGCGACACCCTCGCCCATAATGCTCGATACGTTTGAGATACTCACCACCTCAGGAGTCGTGCTTTGGTCCCGCACCTATGTCCCTGTCGGCGCAAACGTCATCAACAGCCTGATCCGAGACGTCTTCATTGAAGAGCGCATCCAGCCCCAGGCCGACGATACCGGTTCCAAGCCAGCGTACAAAAAAGATGGTTATACTCTCAAATGGACTGCCGCAAAGGATGTTGGGCTCATTTTTGTCGTATGTTCTGCACCGTAAGAGCGGTAGAGGCGAGGGCACGGAAAATGCGCCGCAATTGCCTCTTGGACATGCCCATATACTAACACCCCACATAGGCCGTATACCAGAGCCTTGTTCACCTCACATGGATAGACAAACTCCTCGATAACGTGCGCGCCCTATTCATCGGCCTTTATGGCGACAAGCTCCAGTCAGACAGCAGTGTGGTCAACTGCGACAAGTTTGGCTCCTACTTCGATCGCCAGATGCACGAGTTGGAAGGCGCAAGCGATTCGGGCGCCCCCAGCATCAAGCTCACAACCCCAGAGTCAAGCACAGATAATGACAGTGCCGACGACACTGCTGTCAAGCCTGTGGGCTTGCAAAAACCCCAACGACCCTTATACGATACCAGCGCCGATTCAACGCCAGTGCCTACCCCGGACACTTCGAGGCCCACCACTCCAGCACAGAGCCAGTTGCTTACAGGCAAAGCAAGACCGATTGGAGGCAAAATGTCTCGGAGGGATAAGAAGAAAGCCTCGGCTTTCAGCTCTGCGCCTGTGTCGTCGGGTGACGAGGCGTCGGCCAAGAAAAAGGGAAAGGCTTCCGCAAAAAAGGGCAGGGTGTGGGGCGAGTTTGGCGCGGAGGAAGAGGACGACTCTATCCTCGATTACTCTCAGTCAGACGTACAGGGTGACGCATCAGGAAATGAAGCATTGGAAGAGATCAAGCAGGAGACATGGGGTCGCAAAACTAACAAGGGCGAGTTTGTGCTCAAGGACCTTGACGATGAGATGGATGCTATTATCGCAGCCCAAAATGCAAAGAGGGACAAGGACACACCGGCTGCAGCTGGCGGCCTGGTTGGGTCAAGCCTAGGCGCAATCGGCGGCCTGTTTAGGAATGTGGTAGGCGGCAAGACACTGACCAAGGAAGATCTTGCCAAGCCTCTCAAGGGCATGGAAGAGCATTTGTTGCGCAAGAACGTTGCGCGCGAAGCAGCAGTACGACTATGCGAAAGTGTGGAGCGTGACCTTGTGGGCATCAAAACACCCAGCTTTACTAGTCAGTCATTTCCACACTCTTTTCTTACTTGGGCCCTTTACTAATGCGGCCATGACAGCCATCGAGACAACGATCAAGTCGTCAATGGAGAAAGCCCTTACCAAGATACTTACCCCGACTTCTTCCCTTGACCTGCTTCGCGAAATCCAGCACACGAATTCTACTACCACTCGCCCCTACGTACTGTCCATTGTTGGCGTCAACGGAGTTGGAAAGTCGACGAACCTCTCTAAGATTGCGTTTTTCCTGCTGCAAAACCATCATCGTGTGCTCATCGCAGCAGCGGATACCTTCCGTTCTGGCGCGGTGGAGCAACTACGGGTACACGTCGATCGATTGAAGGAGCTATCCCAAAGAGAAGGCGGGCACGTCGATCTGTTTGAAAAGGGTTACGGCAAGGATGCCGCTAACATTGCTGCCGATGCCGTAACTTTTGCGACCAAGAACAACTTCAACGTGGTCCTCATTGATACGGCAGGTCGGCGCCACAACGATCAGCGACTCATGTCGTCGCTCGAGAAGTTTGGCAAGCTAGCCAACCCTGACAAGATCCTCATGGTCGGCGAAGCCCTCGTCGGCACAGACTCTGTCGCTCAGGCCCGGAACTTCAATGCCTCTTTTGGCCCAGGACGAAATCTCGATGGCTTTGTCATTTCAAAGTGCGACACCGTGGGAGATATGGTGGGCACGCTTGTGTCGATGGTGCATGCAACTGGTATTCCAGTCGTCTTCTTGGGCACGGGGCAGCATTACAGCGATCTAAGGACATTGAATGTCGGCGCGGTGACGAGGCTACTTATGAGTTAAGGTAATGATTGGTTAGTTCGTGATATGACACGGCTATGTAGTGTATAGTATTGGGCTGGATTATGTCATGATTGTACAAGCACGCGTTGTTGCTTGATTATCTTTTCCATCTGCATCAATCAGACTTTGCTTTGTGATTGCGTCATGTCCTTCTAAGCAGATATTAACTACATACAGACGAAATGCTTGAGGAAAGGGGTCACGGTTCATACTGTTATTGGCAAAATAACCCGTATTCATGGCAGACATGTGAATGACGACATGGACGCGCCAAATTAGCTCCCGCATCATCACCATGTGCCTCGTATCCACAAGCTTTACTAAGTGCCACACAACCGTCTTGGATCGACGTAACTGCACACTCTAGCCTATCCCATACCGCTTATCATTCTCATCGCCCTATACTCCGCGCTCATCCCTTTTGTTTCTGCTTCACATGTTGTACGACGCTTGGATCACAGCAAAGCCACTAATCGAAAGTGCCGTGCCGGACAATGCACTATGACATTGGATCTTTTATGGAAACTCTTCCACAAAATGGCTCCTATGATGCAATTCCCATTTTTCAACGTCGCTGCATGTGCACCAACTACATAGGACGCTGCTGGACCTCGCAAGTACGAACATTATAGCCTCTGTCCCCGCATTGCGGCCTCTTCCTCTTCCCCACAGTCGCCATGTCTGAGCAACAAGGTAGCCACCGCGGTGGTGGATCCTCATTATCCGCCCTTGTCTCAACTCTCGTGCCCAGTTTTATCGTTGCTGTTGCTCTGGTTACCTTATTCTTGGTGTTGCGTAACAAGCAGAGGCGCCTCTATGCCCCACGAACATATCACGATGCACTTCTAGAAGAGTACGCTTTCCCAAATTAGTTAACAGTAATACTTTCTGATGATACGATGCAGTGAGAAAACACCTCCAGCAGGCCAGGGTTTCCTAGGCTGGGTTAAGAAATTCACCAACTTGAGTGACGAATACGTCCTCAATCACCACTCTCTCGATGCATATCTCTACATGCGTTTCCTAAAGGTACTCACTTTGATGGCCTTTGTAGGTGCCGTTATTACCTGGCCTGTTCTCTTCCCTGTCAACGCCACAGGTGGTGGTGGCGAATCTGGTCTGGACATTCTCAGCTTCTCCAACGTCGAGAATGAAGCACGCTACTTTGCCCACGCATTAATTGCTTGGATTTTCTTCGGCTGGGTCTTATTCCTTATCTACAGAGAAATGCTGTACCTGGTCAAACTCCGAAAAGCTTACTGCTTGACCACATGGAATGCGAGTCGCATCTCCCAGCGTACAGTCCTCTTTACCGATGTCCCGCAAGAGTCTCTATCTCTTGAAGAGCTTCATAACATGTTTCCCAGAGTCGCCCAAATCTGGCTTGTTCCGAATGTGAACGACCTAGATGACGATGTCGCAGACCTCGACAAGGCTGTCATTAAACTTGAGGCCGGCGAAACAAAGTTCATGCAAAAGGTCACCAAACAGCAAAAAAAGAAGGGCAGTGAGAAAGGCACATATGACAAGGCATTGCGCCCAACACACAAGACCAAGTTTTTGATTGGTAAAAAGGTGGACTCAATTGATTACTTTCGCAACCAGATCAAGGAACTGCTCCCCAAGGTCCAGACTGCGCAACGTTCGCATCTCGCTGGGAAGGAAAAGCTTGACAGCGCGGTATTCATCGAATTTGACACGATAATCGCGGCTGAGGCCGCCTTCAACACAAATCAACATCGCAGGCCTACCAAGTTTAGCTCTAGACAGATGGGTGTTTTGCCGGAGGAAGTCATCTGGAAGAATCTCAACATGGGCTCCAAAACCAGATCTCTGCGCCACCTCCTCGCCACAATCTTTATTTCAGCTATGATTCTCTTCTGGTCTATCCCTGTTGCTGTAGTTGGTTCCATCAGCAACATCAACTACCTCACAGAGAATGTGCCGTTTTTGTCATTTATCAACGAAATTCCCGAGGTTATCCTTGGTGTCGTGACTGGACTCTTGCCAGTCGTTGCACTCGCTATTCTCATGGCTTTAGTCCCCGTCATCTGTCGCGGTATGTTCTCAAGATCGGTCTTCCTACACCTTTCTCAACTAACGTTTTGACAGTCGTTGCCAAGTTGGCCGGTGCAGTCACCATCTCCCAGGTCGAACAACAAACACAGAAATGGTACTTTGCCTTTCAAGTTGTTCAAGTTTTTCTCATTACAACGTTCACCTCGGCTGCCGCGGCAGTAGCCAGCCAGATCGTCTCCGACCCCAAAAGTGCCGTCGGTCTGCTATCCAAGAACCTACCAAAGGCCTCCAACTTTTACATTTCGTATTTCATCCTCTTCGGTCTAGCTATATCTTCGAAGCATCTTTTCAATATTGGGGGCTTGGTGGGCGTCGTTATTCTAAGCAAATTCGCCAAAACGCCGAGGAAGAAGTACAATCGTTATGTGGCATTGGGCGAACCATCCTGGGGCGCAGAGTACCCGAAATGGACAAATTTGGGCGTCATTGCCATCTGCTATGCCACGATTGCGCCGCTTGTTCTGGGCTTTGCAGCAGTCGGTATCGGAATGATTTACGTTGCGTTCCGATACAACATGATGTACGTTCACGACACGCAAATCGATACCAAGGGAGGGTTCTATGCGCGCGCTCTGGAACAGCTCATGGTTGGAGTATACCTTGGAGAACTCTGTCTGCTGGGTCTTTTTGGTATTGGTATCGGTGGTAGCATTACCTCTGTTGGGCCGACCGTCCTTCAAATGGTGTTGATCATTGCAACGGTCATCTTCCACATCTTCATGAAGCGAAAGGTTAAGCAGTTGAACCTGCTCGACGACTCTGAGCATTCGGGGCAACTGAGCAATGCCGAAGCCGGACATTTTTCTACCGCCAACCGCGTGTCTCCTGGGTATAAGAAAGATGGTATCCGGTCTGATCAAGCTCTTGTTTCCCGCTACAATAGCGAGCAGCGAGCTATCAAAGGCTCTGAAGCTGCTGGTATTGCACCTCCTGCCGACGCCCCAACACAGCGATCGTTGTTAAAGAGGATATTCGCACCACATACGCTATCTACTAGCGATATCTCTGCATCTCTCGCAACTCGATTTTGCCGCCCTGTCCCACCATATACGAAAAAAGAAGTCATTGAGGCCTACCTGCATCCAGTCTTAGCTGAACGCCAAGACGTCATATGGCTCCCCAGGGATCGTCCTGGCATCAGCAAGCACGAGGTTGCTGAGCTACAGGAGGACCTTGGCATATTTGGAACTCGAGTCACTGATGAAGGCGCTATCATGAATGAGAAAGGCAAGGTAGAGTGGGATATTGACAGTGTACGGAAGGCGCCGCTTTGGAAGCATCGAGTTGTTTATTAAGCCTATTATCTCCTTCGTCAATAGATGATCGGGGTATTCCGACGGCAACACTATCTATTGTCTCGTATTGTATGCATGTACTTTTTCCCGGAATTTGTAGTCTAAATGCCAACCCACCTTCCACAAAGAGACCATGACACGACACGACAATCACCAGTACCAAGCACACACGCGTACCACCAGCCCCGCACATCATTTAGCTGAAAACAACACGAAGCCTTGGTTGCGCGAAAAGGAGTTGAAATAGTGTATGTCATACATAGGTACTAGCCCCGGGACCTGCTCCGTCGTTGTTCAGTGGCGCATGTTAGTGCCACAACACCACGCCTCAGACTATGACGTCGCTTGACCATGAAAGTGGAAGCCACGCGATTGCCAACTTTCAGCTAGTCAGTTAGGGTAGATGTTGATGGAATAAAAGGGCGTCATGGGACGAGAAGAGCAAAACTTGAATTTGCGTGAACACTTTTCTTCTTGTCTTTAGCATAACAATCACGAGATTTCAACGAACAAACAATCATATTACAACTCAAGTATCTTGAAAGAATTTAGATATTACAAAGATGCCTCGTAACGGAGACGGATCCAGTGACAACGGACCCATCGAAGGCCATGAGATTCTTCACGGTACAACTGGAGATGTATGGTGCCTTCTCCAATACAAGCCCACTCCCTCTACTATACCCATTCACCACACGTAATCGAACAAGAAGCCATGAGTATAGCTAACCTAATTACAGAACTCCCTCCAACACACCAAACACGTAGCACCCATGCCCGAGGGCGAAAAAGGAGACAGTACGTTCCCCATCCTATCCATCCATTACAACAACCCAAAAGAACACACTCCAATAGATCTACGTATACCAAACTGACCCACCATCACCACAGCCCTCCCCGGCCTCTCAGGCGGCGGCACCGCAACCCAAACATCCACCTCCCAATCCGACTCGAAAAAGCGCTCAGAACCCCACCACACCTCCCCCTCCCCAACCTCGCACATCCAGCAAAAACACTCCAAAATAGACACCGACGAAGCCGGCATCGCGGGCGCGACGTCTCACGACTCGGCGGCGCACGCACGCGAGCAGCGGGTCAAAGATGCGGTGGGGTCGGAGGATGTAGGTAGTGGAGCTGGAGGACATGCGGATGTGGAGATGTTGCATGGGGAGGCTACGTTGGATGGAGGTGAGCAAGAGAAGGGACAGGGTGGAGGAGCGTGTGATGCGGATTTACTGCATAGGAGGAAGGCTGAGAAGTTTGGGGGTGTCAATCTACAGGATGATGAAGAGGTTGGTGGTGAGAATAGTGGGGCGAGTGGTACTGCTAATGGAGGTCCTGTGGGACATGCTGATGGCAGTACCAAGGGGAAGACTGAGGAGTCATTCGGTACGCATGACAGTGGAGAGATGCAGGGTAAGAGCAAGGAGCATGGTCACGATGTCGGCCACGAGGCGGATCTGTTGCAGAGGAAGAAAGCAGAGAAGTTTGGGGGCGTGAACCTAGGTGACGATGAGGCTGATGCGTCTTCTGTGGGGAAGAGCAAGGCCCATGGTAGCACTAATGGGGGAAGCAGTGATGGCGGCGCTGTTGGCCATGCGAGTGCTGAGACGCAAGTTAAGAATCAGGGTCACGGTCACGATGTCGCCAATGATGCGGATCAGCTGCAAAGGAAGAAGGCTGAGAAATTTGGCGGTGTCAACCTAAGTGAAGGCGGGGCTGATGCGTCTTCTGGTCTAAAGAATGGTACTCATGGTAGTACTGATGGGGGTCCCGTAGGTGGTACCAAGGCTCAGAACGAGGAGTCTGGTGCGCACAACGGAGGCCATGTGGACAGTGAGACGCACAGCAAGGGCAGTGGACATGCAGCGGAGGGTAAGAAAAAGGACCACGGCCTTGACCTCGCCAATGATGCGGATTTGTTGCAGAGGAAGAAAGCAGAGAAGTTCGGAGGCGTTAATCTTGGCGATGATTAGATGGTATCCCTTGTTTTCTTTTCCTGACCGTAACTTTGTTTATTCTACCTAGCTGCCCGATACTATGTGAGTGTGCCTAGTCCAACCGAGTATTTTTTTTCATATTAGTGATTATTATTTGCTTTCTTTTTCTTCGGGCGTATGGGAATACACGTGGGTGTTGTCAAAAAGCAAAGAAAAAGCGACAATCAAGGGTCTATCGTGATTGTCTGTGCATCGCCACCAGTTCACCGATCAAGGATAACGGAAGATGCTGCAAAAGTGGTTTTCTGGAGAACAAGTCATCGTGTTTCATGTTACGAGAAGCTTTTACGCAATATCTCTTGTCGTTATTCATTTTTATCTTACTCGGATTCGGATCGGGGAAAGAAGATTGGTATGGCCCTGTGACGCCAAGTTCCCGACCCCGCAAACATTCCTATCGTCTACTCATTGTCTTAGCTGCGATGCCTCCGAACAACCTCGGCGGATGTTTCTTTGTTTTTAATAATGAATGCCAGAGATACTAGCGTTGCCGCCGCGGCATCCAGCAATCACCTCGGGAAACAATTGCGTCGAGTTTGCATCCACAACCAGGTACTGGCAAATCTCGGCGGATCCATCCAACACTGCATCGACCTGATCCTCAGTGCAGGAGCCGAGATCCCAAGTATAGCAAAACGTTAGCCTTTCGGATGTATACGCCTCAAACTGCACATTTGGATCGGGCCGTCCTGTGCTCATGTACGTGCTCTCATCATCCGTGCCGGCAGTCGACTCGGTGCCGGTAGCAATATCAAGGTTGAATAAGGCACGCGTGAAGATCTTGAAAGCCGTCTCGGGCTGGTATGCAGGAATGGCGTGGCCGGCTTGGTAGGTGCGGATGTAACTCAAGTTTCCGTATTGGCGGACGAGACCGCCGACGTATGAGTCGTTTGTCTGAATCTCGGCGTACTGTGCAGATGCATACCCGGCAGACCCTGTCCAGTTGATTGCTTTGGCCACAGCATCGCCACCGCCCCACTGATATGTCTTTTTGTTAGCAAGGAGATTGCATGAGTAAGGGTTGCGTTGGGCATAATGATACTTACGGGGCAGGCGAAGTCGAGATCTCCATACACTAGTGATACCTTGATCCCGTTGTCAAGAAGGAAGCCGAGATCCTCAATCCATCCGTCACGCGGGTAGTCGCCAATGGCACGGTAGGCGGTTGAAGCCTGCGGGGAGCTACCCGTCCAGTTGAGAGGCACACCGAGCTCCGCCTGGACCCACTCGCGGTTCAGATAGCCCTCGTGGAATGGCGGTGGGAAGGGTGGAGGTGATGGCGTGGAAATATCGTAGTAGTCGCGCCCAGCATAGTTGTTGTAGGGGGTGACGATATTGTTACGGCAAAAGGTTTCTGCACCCTCGCAAATGCGATTGACACCAGCGTCGATGCCTAGGTTTTCCGGATCAGACACAGCAGCGGCATCGCGGCAGTTTTGAATCCTCTCTAGACACTCTGGGACAGCAGCTACCATGCCATTGTAGATCGTCTCGTTGACGGCTTCAAATCCATATCCGTTGCCTTTGTAAGCCTGTTGAGGATAGTAGGGAAACTGGATGTAGCGGTCGATGCAGCCGGAAATAAGAAGCAGGGTATCCAAGTGCATAACGTAGCCTTCCTTGAGAGTGCCATTCTCAATCTTCTGATTTTGTTCCTCCCAGAAAGACATCATAGCGGGTCCATAGCGTCCACCGTACGACTGGGCTGCGAGACTAATGCGAGTGTCATTGGGCACAATGTGAGGAAACTCTTGGAACCAAGCCTGCGCAAACTCCCACGCTGCCACGGCGCCATTGACGCTACCGAAAAATGTGGTGTTGGGGTTACGGCTAGGATAGGTGCCTGTAAGAAAAGTAGTGTTTTGTTCAGGGAGAGGTGTGGTGTCATTCAACACCGTGACCTGTCCCGTAGCAAGGTTTCTGGTGACATTTGTCAAAGTGTCGTATGAACTGGAAACAATTGTCAATTCACGTGCCATGGCCCTCTTAGATAAGAGAACTCACAAGCCAACCTGCACGGGTTGATCGAGATAGAGCATGTTCGATGCTCTGTTCCAGCTCCATTCAGCTGGTCTCGTTGAGTTTGAGTCTGGGTTTGCGTAGCACGGCCCATTTTCCTCGAGCAATCCATACATTGAGGACGAACCCGGTCCACCGTTCAACCAGATTGTAAGTGGTGCATTGGCCGGATCGTCACGGGCTTCAAAAAACCAAAAGAACTAGAGCAAGAACTTAGGATCTCAACAAATGAGCCATAGCGACATGCTGCTTACGGTATTGATAGGATAATCCTGTCCCTGACCCAAGTCGGCGGTTCCGGGGGGTAGGTAGACATAACCGGAATATGATTTGACGTCTGGTATAGTCTCACAAAGCTTGTTCTATACATTACTATTAGATAATCTGGCTGTAATACAAAATGATCTTTTTCCAATGGCTTCCAACCTCTTTGTAAGTAATCTTCACACCATCTCCGAAGCGCGACTCGAGCACCTTGAGGCCCGCAGGCTCAGATGGGACTTGAGCGAGAGAAGGCGCGGCTAGTGCCAACAGCGCAATGGCCGCGGAGCGAGCGGATGGAAACATGTCGTGACGAATGTTCCTACAGGACAAAGTACCGAGCATGGGCGGTGTAGTATTTATTTACTACGTAGTACGTGGGGGCATGTTTGCCGCCAATTCCTCCAAGCATGGGTTATCTGTTGCCAGTCCCATCTTTGCCGTCATAAACAGGCAATTTCATCGACGGCATACTTGGCTGCATCTCGGAGCATAATCAATTTGGTGGAATGCTCAAGTTGGACCGGCTGTATCCGGAAGGTCGAAGAAGAGGTCGCCAAGTACCAAGTCTTGCTGGGAGCGGGGTGGCCTTCTCACACGCGTTAGCGCGAACCTTGCATTGCCAGCTTCCACAAGCGATAGCGACTATGTGATGAGTGGATTACACAGTACGTGCTACTGGCTCAAGTCTGGTCGGAACACGGAAGAATGGAGATAGCACCTCGGTGCCTGAGACTAGAAAATCGCTCTCGCCCAAGCTGTACGTATGAGGTAGCACTAGCGATGAACGGCCTGTGGAGCGTGCAGACGGACTAAAGCCGGTTTGACACCAACATCACTGTCCTCGGCGCCTGGTGAGTTTGATCCAACATCATTCGTCTATAAAAAGAACCGTTTGGAGGCTAGACCAGGGTAATTACTTTGCAGCCTGCTCATCCATATGTTGTATATGAGATGGGAGCACCACCGAATCGATGTCCGAATAAATCGCTCGCAGTTTCGACCGAAGATGAAATGCTCCAAAGCACTTTTTGTGGAGGATAAGACCACCTTGGTGTTTGAATGTATCGGCCGTAGCTTTTGCCGGGTCGCAATTGGTTCGCTTTACATGGGCTGCCATCTCCGCATAGTCGTGCGATTCAAACGTAAGAATCTCAGCAGCATTTGCATGATCATATAATTGCTGAATACTCAAAGAAGTCCCGGAAGCCGCGCGTCGTACTGGGTAGAGATTGCTTTCTAGGAGGAAGGAGATGAATGAACCCAAAACCATGGCGCGACACTTTTGCTCACATGATTCGTCGACTTGACACACATATACGTGTGTGATGTCGTCCAAAATATCGTAGAGAACATCAAGCATGGCTGTAAGAGTGGCTTCTCGGATTTCCATTATTCGTTCTTTGAGAGCGTCAGTAAAGCGTGAAGGTGTTTGAACAAAGGACGGCGAGGCGGCTTACCAAGTAGTGCGGGCGGCATATGAAGCGGAAATGCCTGGCCACTATCCATCATTGCATTCCCACGTTGATCTAAGCCAGTCCTTTTTACCACAAACTTGGCAAGGTTTTGGAAGCTGTCCTTGTAGCCAAAGGTCCATGCCACGAAGAACCAGGCCGGGTGGCATCGTTCCCCTGAAGTGGTATCGGGGTAGTGGCACTGAGCCCAGCCGTAGAGATCCAAGAAGGGTCGAACCAGCTTAACAAGGTCGTATCTGTCGCACACGACTGAAAGTTGGAGAAGGGCATCGATGGTGAGTCCATTCTTCTTGGGCAATTCGTGGAAGCGGAGATGAGCTATTCGGAGGGCAATGTGCATTGCATCTAGCTCGTCGTCGGGTAAGGGGATAGCGGCCGTTCCATTCTCATTCCAGTGCCGCTCGAATATCTTCTTCCACACCGGACTAGCCAGAATCATGGCCGTCCTGGATACCTGGACGGGCTGGTGGCCCGACGAATCGGTGCCCAAGACCAAGATGGAGTCACCACTGTCATCAAAAACAATAGTGGGCTGCAATTCTGAAGTATCAATGTGCCGAACCTCCGAAGGCGCAACTTCGTCATCAGAAGCTTCGTCGGGGCTGCCAAGTGGTGGTGGTGATGATGCGCTCTCAGGGGCAGAGCGGCCCCGAAGAAGAAAGCTGGAGCCCCAGAGCATTCAGCCAGCCTCAGATGCTTGTCGTAGAGGAAGATGGCAGCAGGGTCAGAGTCTCCCGGGGCGCGTACCGTGACGTACTTGCTCGTACGGCTCGGGAGGCAATGTTATTGTTGCACGTTGTTGCACATGTTTTCATTGAGTGAAGGCGCAGGGATACACGGCCCGTGCTTCAGAGCCAGTGTGTTGATTCAGCCGCGCGTCAAAAAGAACAGGCCAACAACATACTTATTTCCATCCGCGCTCCCTTTCGCCGCCGCCGAGGTCTCTGCGCAGTGCCACCTCGGACAGGGGCGATGAAGATCCCAAGGGCTTGCATATACACAACCGCTTGCCTGGGGCGACCGACGTATATACAGGACTTACAGCTTTGCCGAGTCTTAGCCGACCCCACGTAGGACGTCTTGCCACAGCAACCCTCAACCACCAGAGTCAGCCCGACGGGAGCAGAACCGACACGGAGAGTACGATACGTGTACGACGTAAGTACTCCAGCCAGCCTCCGCAGCAATCTCCCAATGGAGACTACGCGCTTGGGCCATGGAGCCGTCAGCCTCGTAGTGTGTAACATCAGCCCTATCCGGGGTGCGAAGTGAGGTAATGACTCCTCGGACTATCCGCTACAGACAAGGTCAACACAGTGTCATCGAGCGAATCATGATAACCCTCTCCTTCTCTTGTTCCCTGGCCGTAGCTCTCGGCCAGCCTCGATACGGTGCCCTCTACCGTCACGAAACACTACTACTCGCACAAAGAAGCCAATGTGTAGATCCGATTTCAGCTCAAGTTGCGGCATATGGCGGTTATGCGAGTTACGTACGTCTTTTCTGCAGTCCCATGCATCAAGCGCAAGTTCGTCGTGCAGTGTCAAGAGTCAACGTTGAGAGTGGTCCTTGCAATATGAAACTGTTCAGGTGACCCCTCTTCCCCCGTAATGTTGATTATTGCCAGCCGTCTTATTAGGCCGCCTACAGGAGAGGCTCGAGCTACCTAACCTGTTCAGAGCTAGGGACGCAACATGTACAGTCAGGCGGGACTGCACAAACCAAACATTTGAACCGTCTTCAAGTACTCCACCATCCCGCAGGGCAGCTGTACTATCCTACAGAACGCATGCATTGCATACGCGTACTGTAACGCTACATTGTGTATTGCTTTAGGCAAGCTCAGCGTGCTCAAAAGGTATCCACTGTGGCAATCCACTTGTTCGGTCATACTTAGCCTGATTCTTCACTCCTTTGCATAGCATATGCTACCAAATCTGGAGTCAGGTGCAGGCAAATTGGTCGAGATTTGGGCACATCCTGTGAGAGCTCCGTGATCACATTACCAAGATCTAACATGGGTAAAGCCGAACGTTATCTGCAGCGCATACCTGAAAAACGAACGCTGAGTGGATAGTGCATTACCTTCCTTGATTGCATATGTCCATCAAAGGCAATACTAGTCCCACTGGAAGCTTCGATGATCAGTGCCCAGGTGGTACAGACAGACCAGTATGCACAGGTCGTTTCTGTGAACTAGACGTCGATCAGCACATGGTGTTACAAGGATGTTCTTGATCGGAATTTAGCGATTGTTCGCTTGTACCGCAGGCGTAGCCCGTTGCACAACGCTGGCAAGAGCAAGAAGGTAGAGGTATAGTACAGCGTTTCAGATAACGACGCAGACTTGGTTACATTGTCAGGCGGATGGACCGGGACGAGTCAGTAGCTTGGGCTTCATCAGCAAAGTCTTCGCACGTGCGCGATGATCTCCAGCAACGTTTAGGATGTTGGAAGCGAAACTTTATCATGGCATCATCGAATCACGGCGAGTTTCAGCCTTCGGAGATTCGGCAGTCATACTATGTTCATACTGCATGTACAAAGTTCTTCTAAACGCCACTATTTTCCAGCCCTCGCCCGACGAATGAGACCGGCAGAAGCCGGGCTGTACGTGTGAGATCCGGTTCAGCTAACATGTTACGAGCCGGCCGGCATTGTGTGCATGCTCTGACCGTAAAACTGCTACCCCGGAGTGATCAGAGCTTTTGGGCAAAGCGCATCCTAACGCCCGATATAGTGTTCATGAGCGTCTCCTTACGGGCAGTGGCTAATTGGCCCAAGGATGTGGTTTGGCCACAACGTTCGTTAGCCAACCGAGCTGATCAGGGCCACACGCCGCCAAGTCAGTATTGAGACGAATTGTCGGACAGATTCTACGCCACAAGAAGCTTCCATCGATGTGACCATAGCTTGCCGCGTCTGAAAGGGTTCGCTCGATTGCATTGGCTGTTACTCATGATCCCGGAAACGGCTAATCCCCTCCTCCGCTATCCTTTTTTCATCGCATGCAAAATGCGGCCCTAGAGTGCCTGACTGAAGACTCTTCCTACTCCAAAGCGTCTTATCATGTGGTACAGGAATCCGGAGTACCGTATCAGACGTCACAAACGCTCACCCCGGAAATAGCACGTCACACAAGGCGAGATGCAAGGACGTTGAACTAAACGTAAAGGAGTCGAGCGCGGAAGTCCAGGCTATCAGGTTCTCGGCGCCAGCCAATGTCTTCGGCTGCCGACTCGCTATTCAAGCCCCCACCAATCGTCGAATGCCTTTCTGGACCTCATTGTCTCGGCATTGGGAGGAAGATCCAAGTTTCACATCGGGTGTGTCCAGACTGTCTCCAACGACACGATCCGCAACAGCTCCGCGTGTGGGCCAACAACAACTCTATTGCTATTCTATCCATCAACGAAGAAACTGCGCGTAAACAGGTGTTGAAGAGAAACATCGAGGCACGTGGTCGTTACCTGTGCGCCTTTGAAGATCCCGATTACCAGCATTGTCGGTGGCGACTGCTTGACTTGAGCCTCCGCGGCACCCGTCTCGACTGCCCGTCTGTTCGCAGAAAAGGTACTGCTTGTTCAAAGTGCTGGAGGAGACGACTACGGAAGATCAGGGTCCTACAGTACTTTACACCAACTGGGCTCTGCCATGAGGTAGTCGACAAAGTCGTCACGAGGTCGGCAAGCTCAGAGGAGAGCAGTGAGGAATCCGACGACGATGTGGAGGGCTACAACACAATCCTAAGTTCAGACCCGAAATAACTTGGATTGACCCTTCAAAGTAAGTAATCTTCTTCCTGATACTGTTGCTACTAACACTGTAAGATTCATCGCTGTACGATTTTTGCTTGTCATGCGAGCTCCGCCTCCAAGGACCCACTGCCTACTAGGCGCTGCTTGTGATTCTTGTCCAGAAGGGCAAGAACAAGGTCCAGAGATATGCTCATGGTGTAAGAATATGAGCTTTGAGGAGCTATACAAGCGGTCAGCAACGCTGCCAGATACGGAATCAATAAACCAAGTCATCGACACATACAAACGCCAACTCGAACTGGAAACCACCGAGCGCATCAGAAAAGGCTGGTCATTCTTGTGTGCCTGTAAAGATCCAGAATACCGCTCTCACTCGTGGCGCCGCAATTTCAACCCAAAGGATTCGCGTCTGTGCGGTACGGTGCGCCATCGCGGACAGCTGTGCGTGCGGTGCTACCGCAAAGCAAGGGAGAAAAACTGCACCTGGCTTGAAGAATTCGACGGTGACCGTCTAGGCTTTCCCTGCGCATTCGACGATACGAGGTTGCGACGCCGCATCGATGCCAACTGGAAGATTGGCCCGCTAGATAAACACGGACAGCCCGATCCGAGTTGGGAGCGAGATCCCAGACGAGATGGCCGCTGTGAGAGAACGAGGTTGCGCAACCAACTTTGCCAGAAATGCTTCAACCGCATGTGCGAGATTCGAGGTTTTGGCCGGTTTTTTGACTCCGAGTGGGGGACGTTGCATAGGAGGTATGGAGTGCGGTAGAGGTTCTCTTTGTCGACAATGCGATGTCGCTGCTTGGGACCTACCAAGTGTATGATACTACTGTTCAGAGAGACAGTTGTACGTTTTTTCCCTGGGCTAGTACGTAGCAGCACATTGGAAGCGCTGCTCATCTGAGACGGGAATCCTGTGTTTTACTTCTATATTCTGATGGGCATTTGGGCTGGCGTTTTTGTGCTGGGTTTAGCGTATACTAAGATTGTGGACTGCAAAGTCAAAAGTATGGGTAGGTTACAGATCGAATTTATACCTGAGAAAATGGCTTGGTGTGTGGGGAGTTTGGGTTGAATCGAAGTGCTTTCAACAGAGCTTCGAATCTTGCTCGAGAGCAATTTTTTGTGGGGAAGGGACAGGAGCCAAAGAGTATGTATTGCTGAACAGGATTCTACAATACTTATGTAGATTGGGCTACAGAGAGAAATATAAATAGTCACAGCGGATATCCCTTCCCAGCCCAAACCTCTCGGCAGCACATCAGAGTCCTATCAAGGTTTGCCCAAAGATCAACACTAGCGGCCGAAAAAAACGTGATTGAAAGGGTGAAATAAGTACGCCGCTGCTGCATAGCTGTCGAACCTGGAACGAGTGTGTAAAGCGCTATACTATGCTGAACTGGCGAATCTCATGGAATGTTGTATTCGGTCCTGCATAAAATCTTGTTGGAAATCAAAGACATTGTTGATCTCAAGGTTTCTATCTATGAACAAAATACATAGCGTAAATGAGACGCATGGTCTTTGGCATGATGTGGTTTACGAACAGAGGTTGATCTATTTCATTCGATGCAGTTAACGTATTCTATATAGATACCTCTTGTTCTCAGCACAACGTATCTGAGGGTAAAGCTGCAAAAGAGGTGGCTTTTGTTGATTGAACATTTTCAGATTCTGAACTTAGTCCTCTATTCATCTTCGGTCATCTAAGAACATATTGCCAAGCCCCCGAGATCATTTGTAACGTGGCAGTTCATGTCAAGTGTCGCTGTACAAACTCAAACACATGTACGTTCGCTTATTTCTATTGATCAGCTGAAGTCGAATGGCTTCTTTACGGCATTACTGGGATTTGTAGGCTTCTGGATTCCTTACTTGAGCACATGGAGTCATCATTGTGCATTCACAGTGTCTTCCGTCAAGATCCGTGAGCATGGTCAATAGCAGCCATCAGGTGACCGAATCCAGATTTGGAAGAAGGCTTTGTGGTCACATAAAAGGTCAAATACAAAAGCGGAGCTGGAGTCCATAAATTGGCCAACAACATTCCGCTTTCAGCAAGATGAGGCAAGAATACGCGTTAGGGCCCACCAAGAACTGCTTTTTATCTAAACATGTCCGAAAATGAAACTACAAAGCGTGACGTCCCTGACGATATGAGCCCATTACTCTACTGATATCTAGGGACAGTTTCAATAATATGCAAGGTGTTCTCACAAAGGAAAAAAAAGAGCCGGAATAAGATACGCCGAGGTATAACATGAATCAATCTGAGAGAGTTTCAGGCATACGATGTGTAATAGCATGGTACATTATTCCAACCATGTCCGACTCAACGCACACTCAGTATACGAGGCGGAAATATCAGGGGATATGTATTACAGCGCTGAAGATGTTGCATCGTCGACCCGCATTATTGCCACATGACGTTGACGCGGAAAAATCGGACAGCGAGGCTGGACTGGCCTTCTAGAAGCAATGGTGTTCCTGCACCCCTCAGCCACGTCATCCAATCAACGGTGCCGGGCCTAAGGACCCCTCCGACATGCCGCTTTCGGCCTCAATAAATTGTGAACACAAAGACTCATACGTCTCCATACTGCTCCCCAAGTCATCCGCCCCTTTCCGTACTCTGTGACTCACGGTTACATTGTTAAAAAAGGACGCCGTATCCGGATTTGCTTCATTATCACAACTTCATCGTCGGTACTCAGCATCATGGACGGAATCAAGAAGACGTTTGCGCAATGCAAGAAGGAGGGCAGGGTACGTTTTGGTGTCGATTTGGAGAGAAACTGATTGTTGACAATGTCTAGTCTGCCCTCGTCACGTATGTGACTGCAGGCTTCCCTACCGCCGAAGAGACACCCGACATCATGTTGGCCATGGAGGCGGGCGGCTCAGGTATGCACCACAAGCAATCGCTCCTGCAACATGACAGGACAAGCGATTAATGCTTCCAGACATCATTGAGCTCGGCATGCCTTTCACCGATCCCATTGCAGACGGTCCAGTCATTCAGACAGCGAACACTGTACGTTGACTCAACTCGCCACTCCCCGCATCAACCCCACCTGACACTGTGTGTCTATAGCAAGCTCTCAAGAATGGCGTCACGATTTCACATGTCCTCCAAATGGTCCGCGATGCGAGAAAGCGCGGTCTCAAGGCACCTGTCCTGCTCATGGGATACTACAACCCTCTGCTGAGCTACGGCGAGGAGAAGATGTTGCAGGATGCAAAGGAAGCTGGTGCCAACGGCTTCATCATGGTAGATCTCCCACCTGAGGAGGCTCTGCGCTTCAGGAACTTCTGCCGCAGCTATGGGTGAGTTTGGCAGTCAATTGGACAAAAGACAGAACTGATTATGACGGGCAGCCTCTCCTACGTCCCTCTGATTGCGCCAGCTACCTCGGAGCACCGTATGCGCGTACTCTGCAAGATTGCCGATTCTTTCATCTACGTCGTCTCTCGTATGGGCGTTACTGGCGCTACCGGAACCATGAATGCCGCCCTTCCCCAGCTTCTCGAGCGCGTGCACAAGTACTCTGGAAATGTGCCAGCGGCTGTTGGTTTTGGTGTCAGCACGCGCGACCACTTTTTGAGCGTGGGCAAGATTGCTGAAGGTGTCGTCATTGGTAGCCAAATTATCAACACTCTGCTCAAGGCTGCACCTGGCACTGGCGCAAAGGCGGTTCAAGAGTACTGCGACGGCATCTGTGGAAAGAGCAGCCGGGAGACAACACGCGAGGTTGGCATCATTGAGACTTTGAACGATGCTAAGGAGCCAACTGGTGTTCACGTGGACAAGGTCATTACTGATGCTGATACCCCCGATGGACCTGGCCTTGCCGACCAGCTGGACATGCTCAATACCGAGGACGCAAACGGAGATGATGACTTCAAAGAGAAGCACAAGTTCCCCGCACGGTTTGGCGAGTTTGGAGGCCAGTATGTGCCTGAATCACTCATGGACTGTCTTCGGGAGCTTGAAGATGGCTTTAATGCAGCGATAGATGACCCCAAGTTCTGGGAGGAGTACCGCTCATACTATGAATGGATGGGCAGACCCGGACACTTGCATCTTGCTGAGCGCCTCACTGAGCATGCTGGAGGAGCGAACATCTGGCTGAAGCGAGAGGACCTCAACCACACAGGAAGTCACAAGATCAACAATGCACTCGGTCAGGTATTGGTTGCGAGGAGATTGGGAAAGACTGAGATTATTGCGGAAACAGGAGCTGGCCAGCACGGTGTTGCAACAGCGACTGTGTGCGCCAAGTTCAACATGAAGTGTACCATTTACATGGGCGCTGAGGATGTCAGGCGCCAGGCTCTTAATGTGTTCCGCATCAAGCTGCTTGGTGCGCAGGTCGTGGCCATCGAGGCTGGATCTCAGACTCTCCGCGATGCAGTCAACGAGGCCATGCGTGCCTGGGTTGTTAACCTTGACACGACGCACTACGTTGTGGGATCTGCGATTGGACCCCACCCGTTCCCGACAATTGTGCGTACTTTCCAGTCGATTATTGGAAACGAGACCAAGGAGCAGATGCAGGCGAAACGCGGCAAGCTTCCCGATGCTGTAGTTGCGTGCGTTGGTGGTGGAAGTAACGCGGCAGGCATGTTCTACCCATTCTCCAAGGACCTTTCGGTTAAGCTTCTAGGTGTCGAAGCTGGTGGAGATGGCGTTGAGACGGGACGACACAGTGCAACGCTTTCTGCAGGAACAAAGGGTGTTCTTCACGGAGTGCGAACCTACGTTATCCAGAACACCGACGGACAGATCCTCGAAACACACTCTGTATCTGCTGGTCTCGATTACCCCGGAGTCGGGCCCGAGTTGGCCAGCTGGAAGGACAGTGACCGGGCAAAGTTCATTGCATGCAATGATGCTGAAGCATTTATTGGTTTCAAGCTCCTGTCGCAGCTGGAGGGTATTATCCCCGCGCTAGAGACATCCCATGCCATCTACGGAGCGATTGAGCTGGCGAAGACGATGAACAAGGATCAGGACATTGTCATTTGCGTGTCTGGACGCGGTGACAAGGACGTGCAGAGCGTTGCCGAAGAGCTACCCAAGCTAGGACCCAAGATTGGCTGGGACCTCCGATGTAAGTTGAGCGTGAATGGCAGTATTGAGATGATGTGAGCTAACAGTGAATCTAGTCTAAGCGGACAGATGAGTACGAAGAAGGACTTGAGACATGTACGTGGATGTATGGATGTAGCATGTAGACATGGATGAAGTAAAGACCAAGTTTGTTGTGTAGTAGTTGTACTTTGTGTGCATGTGCATGAGGTGTGGGCACGTGAGACGGCAAGTGTTATCTAATCGGCAGTAGGCCCAAAGTCACGTTTTGCTGTGTGATTGGCGGGAGCGGATGGTGGCGGCGACTAAGGCTGCTGCAAGTGAATGCAGGCATTGGCTAGCTGGATCCGATACAGGGCTGAGGGTTCCTACATAGCACATATGCGCACCCAAAGCCACCCCCATGTGGGATGTACGGGCGCGTGACGACTCGTGTGTATGTATAGGTACTACTAGCAACCCTCCATCTCGTCTGTCCCATCGGTGAGGGTGTGGCAGCGGCGGCGGAGGGTCAAGGGGAACCAATCGACGGCCCACATGGCCGTGCTTGGCCGCCTCACAGTTCGCGGTGACGACAACGCACCCACTTCCAAATCCCCCCGAGCAACCTCATCCATGCCGTGTTCCAGATGCCGCAGCCCACATCACATGGTCGCCTACCAATTCTCCGCTCGCCT